AAATATGGAAGTTGGGATGAAAGATTGATGTGGTATTGTTCAAAGAGAAGCAGAGCTCTTTGCTCTGTAAAGATAAAGCGAATCCTGAGAGGCATCGCGTAATATTCCCATCTAATGCGTCGCGATAAGAGAATCAACAATACTGAACTATTGAGACTATTTTAGGATCATTTACTTTACAAAGAAATTATTTATTTCAATTAACTTAGGCGAAGAAGGATGAAATGTAGATATTATTTGACGTGAATGTCAGCAAACAAGAAAAGAAATCACACATTTTCCCCCTGAACTTATTCCAGAGGGGTTTTCTTTGAGGTCCTATGAGGCTAAAAAACAGTTATCTTGCACTCTATTTCAATCATGTACATTCTGACAAAGGTATCCAACAACAAATGCTCAAGACAAGAGCTCAAGTGTTGTGGTTGAGAGGCACTTTTGGTTTCCACCAGCACTCAGATGTGACCTTTTAGATGCACCCCTATCACTCTGATGATAGAGAAATAGATCCTGCACCTTTTCAAGTCTGAAAAAATGACGCTTCCTGAAACAGAAACCGATGCTTTCTTTGCCTTTGAAAAATTGGCTTTTGTTCCGGGCAATTCTTATCAAAGCCTTGTATTCCTTTTTATTTGTCTTTTTCTAAACTTAAAGTCATTACTCTGCTCAGATTAAAGAAGACGCTATAATTTTCTATGGGGTTAGCGAGATCAAAGAACAAATTCTCCTTGAAGTTTGTTACTGGAACTGCCCGTGCTGCAATGAACCTCAACCAGCCATTGTTCAAATAGAAGAGCTGAAATATAAGGAGTTTCTATAAAATAATACATGAAATAAAAGGTAAATATAGTATATATGAGATATTATCAAACAAACCCTGCTGTAACAGGATTAGTGCAGAATAATATGATGTGACGTTAAGGATTTTTAATTCTGTCTATTTGTGCAAGTCTTTTTTTTTTAAATACTTACGAAAATGATTGTATAATAAAATGTAAACATTCTATAATAGCTGTTTTGTATTTACACAGTTAAGTCTTTTTTCTTAGGAAACATGCGTCTATTGTCTCATTTTTTTGTCATTAATATTAAACAATATATTTCTAAAATGATGCATAAAAAAAAAGGCAAAAAGCAGAGCTGCTCTGCCTCAAACTATTTCTTTTATGTGAAAGGATATGTTGAGTGACATGTAGGGGTTTCGTTCCGCCATGCTCTGCAGTTCACCGCACTCGATCTTGACGTGAGGGAGACACAGATTGTCGACCGTCACTGTCCCCAGGGCCGAGGCACGAGGGTGGTGGCCGAGGTGGCTGGATGTCACCTTGGACCTCATGGCGATGGCGTCCCAGGGTAGGTCCACTGAGTCTGGGGAGGTCCTGTCCATTGACGGGGGCATGCAAGGGAGACCCCCAAAGTTGGAATGGGGCCCGTACTTAAGAAGATGCTCTAGGATCTGGCTATCATGCAGAGGGGTGCTGTAATTGAACTGAAACGGTGTCTGGTGCACAGGATAGGGCCTCTTCACAGTCGGCGTGACTGAGCTCAGAGGGGTCACGGCCGGCTTGCGGACCACCAGTGACAGCGCCTCGGTCTGGTCCTGTGGGCTTTGAGCCTCGGAGCTTTCATAATACTCCAAAGAGCGGGGTTTCACTCCAGACTCCTCGTCCTGGGGCTGTTCCTGGGTGGAGCCAGCCTGCTGGCGCTTCCTGTCTGCACCCACGCTGATCAGCATCTCTGGAGATGAGCACATGCGCTGCTGAGGGGACAGATCCAGCCCTGTGGAGGACACCTTCTTGAACACCCTGTCCACACAGTCGTTCACGGCCCTGGAGAGCTCCTGCTTCAGGGTTTCCTGCAGGTTCTGACTTTCTCTCTGGTGTGCGAGGTTACCAACGACTTTCATTCGGCTCTTGCACTCTGCAGTCACTCTGCTATTCTTCCTTTCAAACTCATCTTCAGTGCTTGCATAGCGCGACTCTGGGCTTTCTCCCAGAGTGCCGTGCTCAACAGCGACTTCTGTCTCATCTCTGTCGTTGTGTTCAGGGTCTTCTTGGTTGTAAACTTGAAGGAACTTCTCCTGGAGCTGACGCAGGAGCCTTTGCATGCTGTGGAGCTGCTCTTTCAGCTTGTGACACTCCTCATCCTTGGTGTTGCAGTTGTCACTACTGCTGCTTCCAGGTCTTCTGTTTGCCGGTCCTCCTACACTGTGTTCCTGATGCTGAGGCAACCGCTGCTTACGTTTGTTCTCCTTGTATGCTTCTCTGGCCTCTCTGGTGTCTCTGGCATCTGTGTCAGCCCGCTCACTGTCTCCATGCTGCCTGCTGTTGGGAGAGCCCGCCATGACCCTGATAATGTTCTCCACTCTGGCCCTCTTGGCCTGCAGGTGGTCGGGCACGGGATGCTCCCCTTCCATACCAGCTCCTGTAGAAACGTGAGCGCTGGGAGAGGGAGCTTCCACCGTGCTGTCCTTTGAGGAGACGCTGCACTGGTCCTCCTGACCGGAGTCAGCGGCAGTGGAGCTGGAAAGGTAGAAATGGCTTTCATCTAGTGCCCTCTTGTTGTGGATCGTCTTGCGGAGGAGTTGGGAGATGATGGATCCGTTGGAGTACGAGGCCAGAGGCTCGTCATACATGTTTCTGCGGAAGCAAGGCAACATGACATCAGGTTTGTCGTCCTCTAGGCAGCCTTCACTGGAGTTGTGCATGTCTGGTCGGGAAGACTGAGGTTCAGGCTCACTGAGAAAACCGGCTTTCAGCTACACACGTTGCACAGTCAGAGTTATGAAATACAAGAATCTGAAAAGACAGAAAACAGCAACACAGTTAAGATGATGAATAAGATTTTTTTTAAATGCTCTAGCCCTTTATTGTTCTTAAATCCTGTATTTGTATTTTCTGTATTGTTTATTGACTTTTGCAATTTAAACTGAGTTTTTTTTGTATCTTATCTTTTTTGTCTCTATGCCTGTTGTTGAACAGTGGCATTCAAATAAACAGTTATGATAACAGCATGTAATGTCTCTTTATGCTTTACGTATGTAGCAAAAATAAAGTACATTCATTTGAATAATGATCAGATTAATGTAATACATACAACATTCACAGGTAATTCTGTAATTTTGTTCAGAAAACCTGAAATTACATTTTGAATTGAAATGTCTACATTAACAACCAAATACAGACTTACGTTATACAGATGAAAGAAAATCAAAGAACACTATATTATTTGCAAGATTCTCAGCTCTTTAAAAAAAGAGAGAGAGAAAAAAGAAAGAAATCCTCAATCTTATGCAATAAGGGAGTGCGGTCTTTTGTATCATTTCATTCTGGTATTGTAATAATAGATTACACAACGGACAAAAAGAACAACTCTTATATACCCATGAAAGGTAAATTACAGATTCTGAAAGCAATAGACCACCACGCACAAGAAACGGCTCTGTGTACATTATTTACAGGAACATGTTTAATGGAAACCCTAAGGAATTATCAAAAGATGATCTTGGTAAAATAAAGTAAAAAGCTCAACAATCTGATTCTATGATCGCTGGTTTCATATCTTTTAAGTGTTTTTTTTTCAGAGTATTTTCACACGATGTGATGCAAGTACCATTGTTGAACTAATTAAAAATATTTCTGTATATACAAATGGAACAGATGGAGTTGAAAAGACCATATTCAACTTTTTATTTCTATGTTGGTGGATTATATCAGTCCCACTTATGACTATATTTCTTACTTTGAATTTATTTAAAACATTCAGCACCAAACTCTTTTAGGAGAATATGTAAAAACGACTCACTTATCCTACAAAGCAAAGTTTGAGATAATTTAATTGTCCTTTTAGTTGTGGACAGTAGGAATAATGTCAATGTTCCCTTCAAATATAACAGGCAGCAGACCTACTGGTTATGGATAAATGGTTAATTAGCTTGATGTGCACTGCCTGAAGATCAAACATTTACATAATTTAAAAAAAAACGTAAACTAATTTATAAACTATACATAATCTTTAAAAACAATAACTCAATAAACACTTAATAACTTAATAATTAAAAAACTCACCAAACATTAGATTATAGCTGTCAGCTGGAGGCTGTTGTAAAAGCATGCGTGGGAGTGTCAAAAACACCTCTCATGAAAAACCACTCAACTCAAGTGATGAGTTTTGAAGCAGGGTGAGCTGCAGGCATGCACTTATTAGTCACACTTCTAAAGAGCTGCAGTTTAACCACGGTTCCCACAGACAGAGTGAGCGGCGGTGACGGGACCTTACCTGTTGCGCCGGGACGTGCTGCCGAGCGGATGGCCTGCGCAGACTGTGAGTTGGGCAGTAGCAGAGGAGAGTCGGAGGCATCAGACAGAGCTGGGGCGTGGCCATGCGAAAGCAACGAGGTGGACGCACATCACCCACATAATGCCAAGAGGAGGAACAATGTAGCAACGTGTTGGAGTGATAGTCTACTCATTGTGGACGAAAGGTGGGTTTTAAAAACTGATAGATTGAAGCCTCCTCAATTACCAAAAAATAACAATTGCAGAGGCTATTAGGAAATGTATTAGGCCAACAATTCTGATTGTCACTTTTAACTGGACAATCTATGCATACACGATGTAGGCCTACATAAATCAATATGACTAATCTGTTGCGATCCTTAAATCAGTCAATTTGTTTTATTTGTCTCCAAAGGGCAATTTGCGGCCCAGCAATGAAACAGACACAACATAAACACATTACATCTTTGAAGGTAATGACCTAAACCTACTCAAAGATTAGTTGTGTCATTTGAAACGTATATTTTATTCTGTTTATATATTGTTATCCCTCATGCATTGCCTTCTCGTATCTTATATAATATCTGTGCTATTCTATTCTATTCGCTGTAAAGGTGGATGAAGACTTTATTTGGAGATCATTTTTCAGTGGCCACTTTTTAATAAAGTTGTCTGGAGGGATTCAGAGGGGACCCCCCCACTCGGACCACTTGGTTTATCCCACACTACTTCCTCGCTTCTTCCGGCTTGTTGCTGTGACCGGAGATCCCTTCCGCTGACAGGCTGTTGTCACACGGCCACCATGTTATCCCATTCCCGGTGTCTCACCAGGAATTTCGGCCGTTCCCTCTCTGCCATCCGCCAGGTAGGCAACAAGCAAGTAGCACGTTGTCCTTGCAACTCGCGACAGGACTTCCTCGCTGCCTTCGGCTGCGTGCGAGGGATCTGCCGCGCTGTGCACAGCTCTGTGAGAGCTAGCATTAGCATTAGCTGGAGGCCACGGCCAAGGACAGTAGGACACTTTCCTCCACGAGTGTTCAAGTTAAAAGCAGTGCCCTCTGTGTGGGGTTGGCCTCGCTTTTTGAAGTGCTTGTTAAAAGTGTTTGACCCAAAGCAGAAAGTATATTGTTCATGTTCAGTTAACGCAAACTTATCCAATAGTATAGCTATGAAGAACGTGCTAGCCACACTAAGCTAAATGAACGGGTAGGTAGGCTAGGTGCTGTTAGCTGTCATGTTGAGGTCATATTGTGGTTTATGAGGAAAACAAACAACGACCGTTTTAGCGAACTTAGTGGAAGTAATATGATGTGTTTTTCGTTGCGAGTGTAACGTTATGCCGCTGCATTAGTAGCAAAGTCAAAGGTCAGTAAAGTTCTGGTGTCTTTCAGTTAGTTGTCAGTCAGATTAACGTTAGATCACTAAGCTTTAATGCAGCTAGCTGTTCAAGTAACGTTAGCTGCTAAAATAACATGTTATGCATTTACTGGTGCAGACTTGCTGCAAAAGCATAAAAGCCACCGGTGTGCGGGATAAATGTATTGATCATGAGTAAAGGGACCTTTGACGACAGCACTGACTTATCTCCCTGTGTTTGACTCCATTCCTGCACCCTCCCGATTGTTATGTATTATCACTGTTAGACATAGTTATTGACCTTGATGTCAATGTTCCAGACATTGAGTTATTTTTCTGCACATTACTTCATATTGAACACATTTTGTAATCCTTCACTGTATCTTGTCACAGGGGAATAATGCATTAGCTCGTCTGGCCGCATCAGGTATGTGTTGTCACTGTTCAAGCATGAAGTCTATAAATCTCAATCTGTGCTGTGGGATCGTCCCGCTGCAAAGAAGTTAACACATTGTCCATGTCAATTTTCTTACAGCTCTATCAGCCAGCCATGCTATCACTTTGAACAACAATGTGTAAGTACATTAACTCATTGTGAAAAGTGGTGTGTGCATATGTATTCTCCCCAAAGTAAGATCTGTTACTACACATAATTAGTTAGATTGAGTCCAGCTGTGTGCAATCCAAATGTGAAATGATCTCAGTATATGTACACACACCTGCTCTAAGCGAGCAGCACCATGAAGACCAAGGAGTTCTCCCAACAGGTCAGCGACAAAGTTCTGCAGAAATACAGGTCAGGGTTGGTTTGTACAAAATCTGAGACCTAAGACATCCCACAGCGCACCACTAAATTTGTTATTTCAAAAAGAAAATAATAAGACGCACCACAACAAACCTGCTGAGAGAGGGTCACCCACCAAACTCACGGCAGTGAGGGCTTTAATCAGAGATGCAACAAAGAGACTAAAGACAACCCTGACGGAGCTGGAAAGCTCCACAGCAAAGACTGGAGTGTCTGTCCATGGGACCACTTTAAGCTGAACTCTCCACAGAGCTGAGAAGAGCTTTATGGTAGAGGGGCCAGAAAATAGCCATTGCTTAAAGAAATAACAAACCTCTTCCTTTTGGTGGTGTCCAAATGTGTTTTGTTCTTTATTCTTTCCCTTTATGTTGAGGGGCCTTTCCACGTTGTAATAAGTGATTTAATTGGTGCTCCGTTGGATGTTTTAAAGTTTCATAACCCAAACCCTGACCTGTGTTTCTGCAGAACTTTGTCCCTGACCTGTTTTGGTTCCATACACACGAGCCAAATCTGGATCAGTCATGTTTGTGGACTCTTGGGTGTTAGATATTACTTGTCTGATTTGATATTTTGTCTATCATTTTTTTGTTTTTTTTTCCTTCAGAAAATCTGATCCCCGGTCCAGCGTCTTCCAAATCCAGTACTTCAGGACGTCTGTAGCCCACCGTATGTTTCAGCCTGCGTGCCTTTCATTTTTGCACTTATCTGAATATGAAACGCGACCACCCATGTGTGGATTGAAGAAATCCACATTATTTGACTTAACTTTGTTCTCCAGGAGATGAAGTTGTCACAGTCAACACCCCGGCGTTTGCAGAATCTGTATCGGAGGGGGACGTGAGGTGGGAGAAAGGTAACTCCTTATGCTAATTAGCATGAGCTGCTTCTCTTCTGACCCTGTTAAGGATAAGTGGTTACAGATGATGCCAAATCACAACCAAACTCAACAAAAGGGACTCAGTTTGCACTCAGATGCTAATATATAGCTTTCTACTTACAGCTGTTGGAGACACTGTCAAGGAGGATGAGGTGGTGTGTGAAATTGAGACTGACAAGGTAATACAAAGTAAATGTCATGCAAATTCACCATGTTAAATACCCTGTAAAAATGTATATTTATTGGTGCTTGTGTGACAGACAGAAAAAGGGCAAGTCATTACTGAAGTGTCATTTTTTACTGTTAATCTTTTTATTATAATTTGATCATTTCTAAAACCGTAACAAAGACATTGAACTTGTGGTGATATTGACTTTACACTTAAATCAATGCATGCAGTCATTGTTTAGGCACCAGGCAAATTTAGAAAATATACGAGAACTATTTACATTTCTTTTTTTAACATGCGTTTATTTTGATCCTGCTTCTTGTTGCTGCCGTTAGACGTCGGTGCAGGTTCCCACTCCTGCTGCTGGGGTGATCGAGGAGCTTTTGGTCCCTGACGGAGGGAAGGTCGAGCCAGGAACTGCGCTCTTTAAGCTTCGAAAAGGAGGTCTCAAATATTGTGTTTTTACCATATTGATACAAAGTAGTAATATTAAGATAATATTCTTAAACTCCGTCATATCCTCACTGTTCACCTCTGTCTTTAGCTGGTGCTCCCAAAGCTGCAGAAGCTCCAAAAGCCGAGACCCCGGCCGCTGCCGCCCCTCCACCACCTTCTGCTACTCCCCCTCCTCCCCCCTCAGCTGTGGGCCCCATTCCCACCACTATGCCCCCTGTGCCACCTGTGCCAGCACATGCTATGGACACCAAACCAGGTTAGTCGTCATGAGACAGACGGTCTGTGTCATGTGAGAAGTGTTTTGCGTGACATCTGTGCTCTTGACCTCCAGCTTACGTGATTAATCATCGTAGGCCGAGGCTTTCACCAGCCCTACTGAACCGAAGTCTAGAGATACGAACGGCTTCTTTATGTCTTTCTCATAGTTTCCGCCATCAAGCCCACCGCCGCTCCCACCACACCAGCGGCTCAAGCTGAGGGAGGGGCTAAAGGAGCCAGGACCGAGAGCAGGGTAGAGCGCAAACATCACCACGACACCTAGAATAACATTGAAGAGTTTTAGATTTGTTTGAGTTAGGAGCCATTTACTGAATCTGACAATTCTTGTTTTTCGTTTTAGGTGAAGATGAACCGCATGAGGCTTAGAATTGCCCAGCGACTGAAGGAAGCCCAAAACACCTGCGCTATGTTAACTACGTTTAATGAGGTCGACATGAGGTAGGAAATTCAGAATTAGTTGACCAACATTATTAAGAGCTCGATGTTATTGTAGATGTGAAATGTTCTCCGCTGCATCAACACGTACAAAGTGAAGGAAACAACGGCCCTCATAGAGTGTAGGGGTCCAAATGTGTTTAAATAGCTATGAACATGTTTTGTAAGCAGTAAACATGCTGTGTGTTAAAGGCCTGAGCAACAATTGCACAAATGGTTATGGATTGGAAACTGCCAAAGAGGAAAAGCTTTTTGAAACCAGATATCCTCTTAAACACTGGAATGTAAATATTTGGTCGTAATGCCATCTAAAACGAAGATAAGAATTGTTAAAACGGGTTTTATTAATTTACAAGGAAATGTTATTGTCTGCACTTGCCCCCTGTGCTGAAGAGGACACTTTGAGGATTTCTTTTCCCCGCAAATGTGCGGTGTCGGCTTTCGGCTATTCAGGGTTTTCTATGTATCCTAATTAGATTGACATTGACGGTCTGGAGGAAGACTTCCCATGCTCGGGCTCATCTGGAGCCGAAGGAGCTAGTCAGAGCAGGAGGCTGGAGCATCTGTAGGGGCCCACAGAGACCTGCGCTCTGAGTGGAAGAGCGGCCTCAACCGATATGGGCTTTTATGACAGCCCAATAAGATTTACAGGCTCTAGAAAGTGAAGATTTTTATCGCTTCTTCTCTCCTTTCTCGGAGAGTCTGTGTCTTGGGAGGGGCTAATTATGTTAGCGGAGAAACCCTAGAGCTCCAACAGGGTTAGAGACAGGAAAACAAACAATTAAAAAGAGAGATACACGAGAAAAATGAGCAACGATGAAACGATTAGAGGGCCAATTTCAATAGCTTTAATTCAGCACGATCCGTAACAGCATTCTTTTATAGCCATAAAAAGGCTTACTGCTGTTTGTTCTTTTGTGACCTGTATCTTTCATAACATGGTTACAATATATGAAAAACTATTTTCATTCAACTATTTTATTCATGAAAACATTTGTTTGACAAAGCGGTAACCAGCTCGGTTCATCTGTCCGCAGCTTTAGTCTCACATTATTGGCCTATTGAATTTCAGTGATTCACCGGATTTACAGACAAAGTCATTCTTTAATAATTACTCCAATAAGCACCTCTGTACCTCCCATGTTTTGCATGAATGTTTATTACAATCCCCAAATCTTGCTAGTCTTTTAGCCCCACTCCATTTTCTTTTTCCTTTTCAAAATGTCCTTAATTTTCAAAACCTTCAAAGTTCAGTGTTCAGTATCCTAACATTGATGTTGATCTCTGCATTTTTTCTTCTATTTCCTTGCAGCAACATCTCAGAGATGAGGAAGACTTACAAAGATGCCTTCCTGAAAAAGCACAACATCAAGCTGGGCTTCATGTCTGCGTTCGTGAAGGCTGCTGCCCACGCGCTGGCTGACCAACCTGCTGTCAACGCCGGTACAGACCCTGACCGGCTGAGAAGCGTCACTTTGTGGTGCCAGTTTGAAACTAGCTCCCCGTTTGCCTTTTGCACGCATGGGTACAAGTCACTGCAAGAGTCTGCGGTGTGGTGAAGACAAGGATTTAAGTTTCAATATATTTCACTGCTAAACCTCAAAACCAACACAGACTTATTTACTACCCTGACCTATTTAGATCGACCACACTGAAGAACCAATCGCTGGCTTTTACAAATCTAAAATGCTCTGTGGGTTTCATCTTCCACAGCTATTTGCTTGCACGTAGCAGAAAATGGCACACGTGAAAATGAAATGAATCTTGGGTGGAACCGTGGTGAAGATTTACAGTTTTAACCTGTTTACATGTTTCTTCCGTGTTCAATGTTTACACTTTCTTTGTGTTTTCAGTAATTGACGACACGACCAAAGAGATTGTGTACAGGGACTACGTGGACATCAGTGTGGCTGTGGCAACGCCGAAGGTGAGACGAGTGCATTATGTCGTAACGCTAAATGTAAAGTGCTTCATAGCCCACTTGTCTCTAATGTGAAGGGCAGAACATTCAGTCCGATAACTTCTCTCTCAGGGTCTGGTGGTTCCTGTAATCCGAAGCGTGGAGGGAATGAATTTTACTGACATTGAGAAGGCCATCAATTTGTTGGGAGAAAAGGTAATACTTCATAGTGTATGGTATGACACGTTTAGAGTCGTGTTTGTAGTTCATTCTTCCTTTCTTCGCTGCTATCTGGAGATTTCCTCATTATGTGATCGATGTGTCCGTAGGCCCGTAAGAACGAGCTGGCTGTTGAGGACATGGACGGAGGAACGTTCACCATCAGTAACGGCGGCGTGTTTGGGTCCATGTTCGGCACGCCTATAATCAATCCACCACAGTCTGCTATTTTAGGCATGCATGGCATCTTTGACAGGCCCGTGGCAATCGGTGGCAAGGTTTGTGTGCTCGATGTAAAACATGCAAATACACAAAATAATGTCCTGTATTTAGCAATGGAGTGGTCCCACATGAAAAATGAATAAAGTAACCTCAGTATATCAAAGAATAATTTCATTAATACATTTTCTGTTTTTAATTCTAAAAAGGGGGAAATCTCTGTCATACATTACAGCTCTGTTTGCCAATTCATTAGGAAGTATTCACTCGCGTGACTCATTTCCTCTCGTTTAGGTGGAGATCCGTCCCATGATGTATGTCGCCCTGACGTACGACCATCGTCTGATCGACGGGAGAGAGGCCGTCCTTTTCCTGCGCAAGATCAAGTCTGTGGTGGAGGACCCCAGGGTGCTGCTCCTTGACATGTGAACCCTTGTGCACTCCAGGCCCAACCAAACCAACCATCCCACACAAACGGGGGCTGCACCCACCCGATGAAGACGTAACTGCAGTTGATGTATTGTTGTATTGGTTAACTAGAAAACAGTTGAGTTATGCATTGGACATTTGTAAGGCTGGCAGTGATAACAGGGTCAGTGCTGCTGTGGGAACATGTTGGTGTCTGTGGTGCTGGTCTCTAGATTAATAAATATATATATTCTATTACTCATATGCACCATGTGTCATTTTGAGATTTGAGACATTGTGAGAGGAATGACCAACATGAAGGTAAACTGCGTAGTATCATTTCATTATTTAGGTTGAGAGAAGAACAATGAACACATGGGCCAGAAACCAAGAAACACTGTTCTGAAAATGTCCAAAGTGAAGAAATCTTTTGAGGATTTATGCCACCTGTTTCACAAAAAAATGAACACATGCTGTGTAAGAAAGACTATTTAAGAAAAAAGAGTTTTAAACAATAAAACTTGCAATACTGGACTATAGCTTCTGTGTTGGATATTTTTGTGTGCTTTCATATTGACAGTGTAGCACAGATCGTTCATCCACTGATACTGCACAGATGGGTGCTGGATTAAAATACGAACCACCATTAAGTTAGTTAAAGCTTACTAAGGTGTTGTAGGTGATGTTCACTGCTTATCATGCAGTACACCTGGAATGGAAGCATTTATTTAGTTTCTCATTTATTCAGGGTTTCCTTTAACTTGTCACCAGTCTGTAAGTGGGTTGTGGAATATTGTTTAATAAGATTGTTAAAAGTCCCACGCTACAGAGAGAAACTTAAAATGGTCTTTGTGTCTCAATCCTTGCTTAGTCTATAGACCAATTGCACACAAAGTGTGAAAACAATGCCAGGGATTGAGAAGAGGTAACAATTTATTGCCTGATTTTGTTTCTTTTACAGTATTTAATGGTGGACAGTCCAAACATTTGTAATTGTCAGAATTTACTCTATGGAGTCAGTTTTCATGCATGGTGACAATATTCATGGATACTATAAAATTGAAATATACCAAAATGGCATCAAAGGTACCTTAAATTGCAATCATATGAGTCTCGGAAGCAAAGTAATAAATTAATTTTATGTTTTGGAAGCGACATGGTTCACGTGTTATGGTCATGTTTCACTTTTTATTGTCATTTTTTGTCTTTGGGGAAACAAAGGGAACAAGGATCCAGTGCTGCGTCCATTCTGGCCACACGAGGAGTCGGTGTTCAACTCCTCCTCCGATGCAGAACACAGGGATCAGAGGTGACGCAGCTGCACCTGCTAGCAGCTCAAAGCTTTCCACGAGACACTGCTGAAGAAGGGATGACACTTGATGTCACTCACGCCTCCGCCTCCAGAACCCAAGCGATAGCCGGCATCAAACTGAAGCAACTGTGAAATAATACACAATGGAGAGTGTAAGATTAAATCACACAGTCTGTGTGTGTTGCAATTGAGCATAATATTTAAAAAAGAAGCCTCAAATCCAACCTCTGTTAGTAGAGACGCAGCTGCCGCACTCAGGTGGTTGGGGATGATCAGCTGGGTGTGAGAATGGATTCCTGCTGGGTGGAGCTGCCACAGTGGCTGGAGGCACAGTGGACAGAGTGTGTGAGACAAACCTTGACCCGATGCCACAGTGTGCAGGAATGGTGCAAAATGACAAAGTTGCAAACTTAACTCTGTAGGTCTACGTGCTTGTAGATCCTTCACTTACCATTCCTGTTAAGAGTTCGAACAACAAAGCCCCAAGGCTCCACCAATCACAGGCCTCCGTAACCCTGGACACACCACCGATTTCTGTCAGCATACAACGAGCTGAGTTTAGTTGTGTTTAAACAGAACATTTATTGTCTCCATATTCCCATGCACTGCGCAGAACTCGACCTCTTCTTCAGTGTAAAGTGGCCTCGACTTAATCTTGCCACTAGGTGGCAGATTACACCAGGGAACAAGCACTGGTTTCAGCTTGCAGTAATGCATAATGTTTACCTGGAGCACAGTACATCTGTTCCATGGCTTTGGAGCTGATCTCTGACTGAACCTCACTCCACTGTCCGAAAAAGGTCAGACACACCTTTCCTGTGAAAACATTGCATTTTGATCAAAAATCTAAAGTACTGCAGTTTCCCACATGCAATCCTTCACAGGTATTTGATGAACTCACCGTTGCTGGTGAGCAGAACGTTTCTAGGGTTGAGGTCCCGACACAGGATGCCTTGCTGATGTAGACTCTCCAGGGCCAGCAGAATCTGAGCCCCCCAGACATGCACCTCTGCCTCTGGAAGCCCCCAGCAGGTCGGCTTGGCCTTACCTGTAGACCTGGAGGACTTCATGGGGAACCGAGGCAGGTGGCACCAGCCATCCACCTCTATGATCTCGTCTTCCACCTGCCCCTCCGATCCTTCCGATTTAAGGAAATCATCCACATCCTCATCCCCCCTGTGGGCCGAGGCTCCAGTAGGGCTAGAGGAGAGCCAGCCCACAAACGATCGCTCTTTTGCCGATGCCACCTGCTCTCCAGGACACAGCAATTCGCAGGCCTCCTCTACACTGTCCCTTGTCTCGCTGGAACGTGTTTCCCCTTTGTACTTCAACCCTGAGAGGGCCAAGGGGATCCCTGAAAATGCCCCCTGTTCCCCTGTAATGCTGTGGCAGCAGACGTCTGTGTCGTCTGAAAATACCGCTCTGTCCGTGCTCCTGATGACTACCATGCCGTTTCTCTCCTCTGTGGTGGGACTGCTGCCGTCTCTCTTTGAGTCCGTCACCACATCCGCAGAGTTTCCCGTCAAAACAGATCCTAGGTGTGAGCCATTGGTATCCCATGATGCCCTGCCACGGATCTGGGTTTGGCAATGGAGAGGAAGATGCAAAATGGCCGGGGATGAACTCAAACCATTGGTTTCAGTGGTTGGTGATCCCGCTTTTACAAATGAGGTCTGATTTGTATGAGCTGGTGTTTGTGCTAGTGTGCTATTGAAACGACTTCCGGTCACTGCATAGGGGTTCATTTGTACACAGTTATGTACTGGATCTGCCACTTTCCAAGCCACTTCAAACTCAGAGCTGCACTCTGTCAGTCCCAACGCAGCTTTATTTTTGTGGAGCTCTGACATGACATCGAGGGCTTGACTGACGCGAGAGCAAGAGAGAGGAAGAGCGGGCTGTTCCTGAGTTACGCTGGAGTGCAAACACAAACTAGGAGCTGGTGGATGGATGCGGGCGTTGGCCTGTGTCCTCGCCGGGCCTGCATTCAGAGTTAGCCGATCGAGCTTGGTGTAAAATGATGCCGCGGAACGCGTGTTCTGCAGACAACCCGTCTCCTCGATGTAGGAGTGAGTCCCGCAGCTCTCCAGTCGCTGCTGAGTCTCATCCCATGAGATGGGGAAGTCGGCGTCTGGGCTCTCGTCACATGATTTCTCTGGAATCACTCCTTCTCTCCCTCGGCTGTTGTGCTGGTAGTCTGTGCTGATTGTGGGTGAGGTGTAGCTGGTCTTCAGCTTGATGCTGGGTTGGCCAGACGTGAAGCACTCCGGGTGTTCCTTGGCCTTCTCGTTCCTCAGTTTGTGCAGCTTGGAGAAGAGCCTCCCACCTTGGACAATAGGGGAAGAAACACTAGATCAGACGTTGGAGCAAATTCACTTCTTAAAATCTGCCAAACATTGTCCCAACAGCACTGAGGACAGAGCAGTTGTCAACAGCTCACCTTTGACATGCTCAAGATGCAGGTACACGGCATCCTCGCTGACGTAATATCTTAGCAGCTTAACCATGTATGGCACCCCCTGAGGAATGATGGTTGGCTGATCCCTGCTCTCCCAGCTCGACTTGACCAGACTCTGCAAGAACATACACACACGCACACACGCATAATGACTGGTCTTTTTAAAAAATGCATATATTAATGTGAAAAAAACAGGGTACTTCATCAATTATTTATTCAATTTTAAATAAAAGTCACGCCTGGATTGCCCATTTAGAGATTTCTGCCTGTCTGTTACCATGTCTCTCCGGTCACTGAAATTGGAGGTGCACTTGCACCGGCTAAAAGGGTGAGAGCTTTCAGGCAGATCAATGCTGGATAATACTCAGGGAGACAGGATGCAGAGAGCTCCCGTCAACTGGCCTGCCACAGTATATAAGTACTGGCTTTCTGCCCGGCAACAACCCCCGAAACATCTCCGCTTTCAGTGGATAGGCTATATGCAGACATATGGACCTGTCTTTAATTTAAATGTGTTATAACACAGAGGAAAGCACAATCACTGTTCTTCTCTGGACTGCATCCTTCGATGTAGTACTATACCCGTGGAAGGAAACTGAATACTCACCTTAACAACAAATGTCTCCTTGTTGACCATACTTTGGACAATCAGGACCTTTTGGAATTAAAAGATAGTACAACATCAATGAGTGTCGATACACAAAGCCAACACTGATATAGAAACACAGAGGTAGTTAGTGTTACAGTCTTACCTTATCAGTCACTCCCACCACCTTACACATCTCCAGATCCTCCACAGGTGAACTCAAGTGTCTGATTGGACGGAATCTCAGGCTGCTGTAACCCTGGTGATGAAAGCCACACAGGATGTCAGCTACAGAACAATGAAGCACAAAGACCTTTTTGTTTCCACAGCGTCTGAGATGAACAAGCCTTGGTGTCAGACAGAAAGACACCGAATGTTTCATCTAATGTAAGAAGCAATAGAGGACGTGCTCTTTTGTGTCCTTCAATCAGAGGATCGGCGGTTCGATCCCCGCTCCGCTAGTCGCATGTCGATGTGTCCTTGAGCAAGACACTTAACCCCAAAATGACTCGCGTAGCTGTACCTATGGTGTATGAATGTGATAGAATGTGAATTGTAAGTCGCTTTGGATAAACTTACTGTAATGTAATGTAATCAACTCTCAAAGAGTACAAGCTGCTTATTTATCCAGTATCAGACTTATGTGAACAATAAAAACGCCTCAACCCTACGCTGGAATTACATTCAGAGCAAATGAGTGACAATAAGATTTACTTTTTGTAAATGGTAGTAAAGGAAGATATATTGTCTTACCCCTAAATGAGAGCTTCCCTTCCCCAGGTTGTCCTGCAGATGAGTTATGAAGATTTCTTCAGCTCTCTTCAGATACTGGGTTGTTTTCCTCTTCACAGCCTCCTGACGATCCTTGTTTGGGTCCACTGTAAAACAATTAAGCTCTATTAGAAAAGAAAAACACTGCAGCTGTGGACATTTCATAAACCTAACAGATAAGACCCTGTTCTAACTAAACCTCAGCCTTTATCTAGGATAATGATTGGTCACACGCAGCTTAATATTCACACTGTGGGTGGAAATCGTCTGGCCAGCAAGGAAATCTGTGTTTAACCTTTGGTTTGTTACTTCCTGTTTTTTATTCTGGATCACATGTTCCTATCACATGTCTCCTGCAAACACGCCTCTTCAAATTCTCCATTCACAGCATGACATGCCTTAAATACTTGTGTGAAAGACCAAATGTTGTCCACTTACGCTGAACCCCATTCAGCAGCAAGTCCACCCCGTTCTTATAGTAACTGAAGGCTGCCTCATAGTCCTCATTGACCTCGCTGTCCAGTGCCATGCGGATCTGCTTGGCCGCCTCCACCAGGTAATCTCTCTTTGCCATCGCTGCCTTGCTGTGGACCAGATGGACCTAAGCACAGCAGAGAAAGTTAGACAAGACTGTTGATCCAGCTGGACTTCATTCAGACCTGGTAGAAAGTCATGGACACGCTGTCTTGTTCAATTAGAAACTGAAACTGACTCTTAAATTGTGGTAAGTGAATCATTCTGCCGCTTTTACGGAGTGTTCTTGGGACTCACCTTTGCTCCCCTGTCTTAGCAACAACAGGACACATCTCTGTCTGTTGTCACTCGGCTCGCCATGCGTCTTCCCCCAGTGACTCCAAGGCTCAGGTCTTTGAGGCAAAGCATCGTTATCTGAGCAGGTGGAAACAAAGAGTTAACCTTCAGCACAGGAAGTGAGTACAAGCTGGTGTGCCTACTATTTCTGATGAATGGAAAGAAGCAGAGTTGCAAACGTCCAAGATGACAGGGAGATGACTCAGAGCAATGACGCGCATTGTCGTGTGTCTCAGGTAAATTATGTATCTTTAGAGGATGGTGGAAACCTAAAGATTAAACTTGTGAGGACATGCAAATCTTACTGTATAATCCCAAAAATGCATGCTACACTGTAGACAGGGAAGGCTAATGGTGACTAGAAAACCTCCCATTGATGTAAAATATGATGTTCCAATGCTCTTGGGCTACAGCCTGAACCACAAACATCACACACACACCACTCATCCTGGCTACAGCCATGGAGGCGACATCCTCTAAGGAGTGTTATGAAATACACAAAGCCATCTTCAGTCTCCTCCATCACCATCTTCTCAACATGCACTTCCATAGCTAAAGAGTTAGCAATCACAATGATCAATAAATGGACAAATAGCTTAGAAAACAGACATAGATACACACACACACACACACAAACTGTACCTGATGTGAGGCGAGCATGCCCTGGACCCTCCACCCTCCACCCGTAGCAGCAGCATCAGCAGCGGCAGCAGCAGCCGTGTCTTCAGCAGCCTGAACACACTCCTCTCAGGAGCAGGAGAGGAGGACGGAGCTCAGGCGAGGCTGCCGATTGGCTGAGCGTGATGTCACTTTAGGGTACCATTTCACACAAGGCGCTCACTTCCTCCCCTCTCATCCTGACAGATGCTGGTCTATTTAAAGAGACAGTACTGTTTTTGAGTACACTGACTGAAGGCCATTTTCAACCCTGACTTTTTCTTCCAAAATGGACTGTGTTTTGCTTTTTATTGTTGACTATTGTCCCATATGAAAATTGTTAAATTTATAAACTTATTACTAGTTACAGTATTTCTGTGATGTCTCCCATCCATTATGAATGGAAGGATCACCCATCCATTATGAATGGAAGGATCACCCTGCCCAGAATCCATAATCTGCTGGTGCCCAGTACCAGATGGAGCCAGGCTCCAGTCACAGCACAAAGGAGAGTCCTTACCCCCCAAGGGAGGGCCAGTTTACAGAAGGGGGTGGAAGCTCCAGCACGGAGCAGGATGTTAGGAAAGGGGGAGCTGAGATGTATCAGCTGCTGCAACCTTATCCAAAAACAAGGAAGGGAGGGGTCTGGTTTAGTTTAATGATTACGTCACACCCTTTCTCAAATGTTCATTCAGTCACACTTTATTTTGCTCCCTGATACATAAATTGAAACAAAAAAAGGACAACTCATATGAATGCTCAATATTGATTTTATTCCAGAAACAAGTGTCGTTCTTTTGCGTCGCACAGATCCCAGAGAAAGTCGGTGAAGATCATTTGCATTAATCACAACACAGCAGATTAAGATCAAGAGGCATCATTCTTTGTTGAACCTCACATTGTAGGACGCATAATAGCCATTGTTGTACATGTAAAGCCTCTGATTAGTGTGATTGTAGTGCAGGTTGACAAATTTCTCCTGGAATTTCTAAAGGGGAAAACTCATGTATCTCTCCTCTCCAGTCTTGGTGTCATATGAGTAATAGATCTCCTCCGTCTTCAGATCTCCTGGCCTGGTGGCGTACACAACTCCACACACCATGAAAGCATTCCCTACTCGAGGCTTGAACGCACTAGTGGTCCATTCATCCTCAATACCGAATGATTTGTCATTTATCTTAACGACCGCAATTTTACCCTTGGCCTCCTCTGTGGCATACATTACCCACAATCCTTTCTCATCAGCTGAAAGGTCCAGATACTGGTTTGGCGAATAAGTGCAGGTGAATCTGTCGCTTGCTTTTGTGATTTGTCGGTGACTATAAACAGAGGAGGTCAGATTTAATTTGGACATTCTGACTGGGTTGGCAGCCTGTTAATATAACGTTACCATGGCCAACGTAATTATTGGTTGTGTATTCAGAATTTCCTAAATTAGTAGTATGCTTCAACTCAGGAGCAAATATACAAAAGTACTTTCACAAGACTTCGGGGCTTATATAGCCCATTTTTTGACACCTTGCAGGTTGCAGCACCTGTCCTAGTTCACAGCATTGTTAGCCAAGGCACATGCAAAGATATGTCACTTATTGTTATCTTCAGCAAACAGAAATTAAACACTTGTTTGAAATGATCCATTCATGTTTGGTATTGCATCAGAATCACTGATGGGAGGTCTACCACCTGACAGAGCTCCCAATGGTCTGAATGCTCAATATACTGTGCACATTTGTCATTTTTTGAGATTAGAAACAAGATGAATAATTACAATCTATCTTTATTTTATAAAGTAACCAACAGGCAAAAACAATCATAACACTTTAAACCATTATACAGAGTTTTATAATCACTTGACAGTCAAACCCTTTGAGTCTTTAATTCTTACGTTTGGTGGTTTTCTTTTCCTTAACTTTCTTGGATTTGGCTTTAACCGCTGGCTGCTTGGCATCAAGAGCAGGCCTAGACCTGGTCAGGGGGTACGCAGTGGGGCTTAGCTTGCTGTAGCCCATCTCTGGATCGGAGCGTATACCCTGGGCAGAGATGGACTTGCCTGGAGAAGAGCGAGGGGAGTCATCCAGCAGGTTAGGCTGTGAGTAGGAGCGCATGGCCGGCGAACTGGTGGGACGGTACAGCGTTGTGCCTCCTAACATGGGCAGGTGGACATGCTCATTGCTCAGATTAGTGACGGAATAGCGACTGCTGTTGGACATGACAATGTGGTGCCAAGAACTTAGAGGGGTGGCAGAGAAGTGCTGAGGGCCACTTGAATCCTCTCTGGCTCCTCCTCGAGATATGACTATTGAGCTGCGTGGTGTTACAGCATCCACGGCGCTCTGGAAGGTCTTGAGGATGCGGTCGCTCTTCTGCTTCTCTTTCTTCTGACGGGACTCAACCTTCCTCAGCTTGCGGCGGTGATCCCTCATCATCTGTTTCCTTGTATCTGCCAGTCCCCTGCACACAAACATCAGATAACGTCAGTCTTTTATGACGTCATTCACGGTGAAGATCTAGACAAATTCCCAGCTCATATCTAGAACCTATTTGGTTCGACTACACCATCAATTTAACAACGATAGATCTGTAATCACTCGTCATCACTCAGTGTTTTGCAACAATAAACCTTAATAGGCTACTCTGTGAAACAATTTAGAAGGCACACCTGAGAGTATGATCAAACAGCAGGAGACATGCTCACCTGTAGTCTACCTTTCCTGTCCTGTCACGATCAAGTCTCTGAATCAGCTCCTCAATCTGGTATCGATCCAAAGGAATACTTGATTGCTATCATGGTGTCACAGGACAGAAAGAAAGATCTGTTACACTAATCCCCTACAGTACGGTTTTACTGATTCACTGTGTGTTGGTCAAGGATCAGCATCAGTAAAGATTTGTGAAGAGCACTAGAAGAGAGCTAATCATGCGCGATTTCAAAAGGTCAATTTCAGGGTCCTCTGCCCTGCAAATGTCACGGACTCGACACAGTTCAAAACAATCTTTATTTGGAAACCTGCACCGCCTTCCTGAAGTCAGCAACAGGGACTCGCATTGTGCCATCTTTGTCAATGTTCCTAAAGAAATCCCACAGGCGTAGTTTGCGTTGATCCAAATAATCCTTCAAAAACATTGGGAGAAGACATTTTGAAAAATATTAAACGGATGTAGAAACAAACAGAAAGCTTTACTAATTTAATATGTGAGTAAAACACTTATTCTATATATGAATATGAGACTATATTTTCATATGAAATGCTTTTAGGACTACTTATTCTCATTATGTGACCAAAACACGCCTGGATGACTTTCATTGGATCAACACGTGTCGGTGGCTTCTTGGCGATGAAGCCTCCTACTCCTCCAAACTGTACATCCAGACCGGGATGCTCCTGACATGTAACATCCAACAGATGCACAAATGTCTCATTTACCAGCACATTCTGGACAAAAGAGAAAACACAAGGATGGTGTTGACAAGAACAGGACACGCTCACTCTGCTTCATTTGATAGGGAAAAGATAGATTTCTTTGAACTGTGATCAAATGATGACAGAACGGTCCGATCAGGGTGACAGACAGACAGACAGAAGGAGAGTGGCGCCACAGTAACTCACACATATGTTGATCTCCTCCAAGGCAGTTCTAGCTGTGTTCTTCACCACATTAACCAGGGCCAGTGCTCCCTCTACTGTTAAAGAGTTGTAAGCCAGCTACAGAAGTGTAAAAAATAAACCACTTTAAAAAGTACCTGCGTCATACTGATGATGCATGTTAGGTTCACACAAGCATGTCCACCCACCAGTAGGACTCGGAGTGTGTCATTGAACTCAAGACCCCTGCACAGCATGCCGACACCCTCATTGGTGATGCGGTTGTTGTTGAGGTTGAGGTGCACCAGAGTGTTGTTGAATTTTAGGGCCTCTCCCATGGCCAGAGCGCCCTCGTTACCAAAACCGTTCCATGATAAGTCGAGGTGTGTTAACATCATGTTCACCTAAACATGGAGGGTGGGATCAGATGTTGTGTACCAAGTCGGCGATCAAATGGATCTCTTATTCAACCCTACCTTGAGTCCAGCACAAAGAGCCACAGCCCCTTTCATTCTAAGATGGTTCCAGCTAAGATCCAGCACCTCAAGACCCTCGTTATTTGCTGTAGAAATGGAAGACTTCTGTGCTAATTCCTCTTGATTGGCATTACATTCACAGAGTAAAGCAATTAATTTGGTCACATCTACAAAGACAGATTAGTGAATTGCACCGTACCCAACAGTTGTCCCAACTGTTCCCCTCCTTTTCCACAAAACTCATTATGGCTCAGGTCTAGCTCCTTCAGTCTGGAATTGGTCTACAGGTAAAAATATTAGTGACATAATCATTACAAAAGTAACCAAAATAGCCTACAACTACTTAACAACCAACCATGACTAAGATGTAATTCGTCATGTAAGGCTTAAAGGTAAGAGTTTGGATGACTGATTATTAATCGCTTACCAATAGTGCATCTACAAAATATTTTGCATCATCATCAGTAAATCCGTTTCCTGTTGGGACAAAATATGAAATGTATAAATATATAGGATAAGTTTACGAATGAATAAAATCCCATGACAGACCTAATTTTCTGATCTAGTGGGAAATTGTTTTCTTTTTCATCTTCCCATCATTGTGTCCAGCCTGATCTGGTCACAGTACATCACCCCGTATGTCAATGCGGTTAAAGCCGTTAATGTTACCTGGAATTACCTGAAAGTTTTATAGATTTTAATGAAATGTTGTCCAGCAACACTTTAGTCACGTGCTCAGCTCCTGCAGACTGCAGGTCGTTGTTGGACAAATCCTGAAAGCGAAGCAGATGGTGGTACAGTATACGCTGCATACTCCACTGTAAAAGTCAAGTAAAAATGTCACCTGGAAAGCTCTTGTGCCCTCTAGTGGTAGGTTTGCAGTCCGACATACCAGGTGCTGCATGGTGAAATTAGCCCTCAGCATCTCCATAAGGTATTCGGCTCCCTCCGCTTGAATGTGATTGTCTGCCAGTTCCAGAGTGTTGATATGCATATCAGCCTAAATACAAAGAGCTTATCGGAAATGTTCTATTTTCTTTTTTTCTTTGACTGCACTCAATAACATAGCATTTTAAACTTACCACTAAAGCAATAGCAAGCGCTTTACACCCCAAAGGTCCCAGCCCATGGTGGCTGAGGGCCATGGTTGTAGACTCATAGTTTCTTATAAAGTAGGAGACTGGCACTACACCCACCAGCTTGCAGGCCTGGAGGTACACTTCAGGTATAGACGTCCCCTCGTCGCTCTCCTCTTTTTCTGGATATGAGTAAGTCCATATGAGTAAGTGGCTATATATACAGTAATACACTTGTCAAAACAAGACATTTATTTGTATTATTTTTGGAATGTTTTTTTTAACCACACGATGAATTAATATCAAATTTACAGCTTTACAGTAAGAACAGCAAAGTGGCTTATACTGTCTTTACCCAACAACTCCAACAATTAATCCAAGAATGAGTTTAATGTACTTACCATCCGAGTCCAAGTCTGTGTCAAACTCATCCTCCACGTCCTGCGGTTGAGTTGGGTTGAGACAATCGTCCTCTTTTAAGCAGAGGGACTCAAAAGACAGCGTTGACATTGCTGGATGCTGTCAGAGCCTGTGTCCTGTTTGAAACCACTTCCCAGATCCAAAGGGAATACAGTCTTCTGTATGTGTTTACTGTATGGGCTAGCAGCACAGAGGAATGAAATAGGCCTGTGCTGCCCAGCAGGTAATTCTACCCCTCAGGTAACGTTTCATGTGTAGTGACATCAACAATTTATGTCTTCGTGTGGTTACAATGTTGTGTTTTTTTTAGTAACACTAAGCAAAACTGTAAGTAGGCTACAGCATGACACAGTGGGCCTATGTGAAATGATATGCTTTAAAGCATGGGGTAGTAAAGTGGCATTTTATAGGATGTTTTACATTATCATATTATCTTATTTTATAGAATGCTGTGTTTTTTTGTTTATTTTGAACCAGATTAAGACGAATTAATTTACAAAAACATCCATGGGGAAACCACACCAGTGACATTTGACTTGCGACCCTTCACCTTTCTCTCGCCACTACCAACTTCAGAACGCGCATGCGCTAATATCACTGCAGAAACATGATTGCCAGCCTGTTGTATTATGCGCTCTACCCACTGTCACGGTACGTGGCTGGTCGACACTCCGGTAAGTCTTGCAGTACGTTGTCGTGCAAGGGTTCATGTTTTAAAATGACAGTGTCACGACATGTATTTCTGTTGAGTAGCTTTTGGGAGCTAACAGTTGCTAACGGTAAGTTTAGTTCGCTGCTGACCGTGCAGTTTGTCTCGACATTTGTTGGCGCGAGCGTTAGTTTGATCACTGAAACTTAAACTGACACTTTTGTACTGGTTCCCTAGTGTGAGCTACTAGTTCCTCCTTTGAGAAAACGGAAACGTAATGCATATTATCTTATTGCCATTGATTTAACTTTGACTTGTGGAAACTTGTTGGCTTGCACCTGTTTTTTGAAGCTTGCACTGGCGTCCCTCATGACGTCACAACGCCCCCACGTGTGACTGTTTTGCTGTGTAGTTTTGGTTCAGTAAAATAGATTTATTTGTCGCATTTGATAGTGTTTTTCATATCTTGACAAAATGAAATGACACAAAGCTAAAGAGCTCGGTGTGTTTCAGCTCAGTATGAATGCATCAGTGTTTTCTGACACTAACCTTGTCTTCTAGAGGCCTCGAAGACGGGTCTTCCTCCTGCACAGGTTAATGGCAAGGCAGTGTGGGATGGTGGTGCTGTCACAACCAGAAGGGTCACCGAGTTTCAGAAAGCCCTGCTGGACCAGGGGCTCAGCCCAAGCAGTGAGACGGAGAGAGGGATGAAGGAACCCAGAGGCCCAGAAAAGGAAGATGATACGAGGTCCAAAGAACAGCTCGTGGCCGTCCTGCATGAAGAAACAGAGAACGGGGCCGTGTCAGCGATGACTGAGGTGAAATCTACAGAAGCAGGGACAAGAAGTGGACTGCAGCAGGACCAAGTGGAAGCTCCTGAGCAAAAAGTTGGGGAAATAACTATTCACCATGAGGTGCTCCAGATGATGCAAAATACAGAGGATGGAATTATTGTTCCAACTTTTTTCATCAGTCCAGAAAAAAATATTGGGGCACAATTAGATTGCCTGCAAAAGGAGGACAGCACGGAAGAAACCACCAGTCCAGTGCAGGAAAAAATAAAGATGCTAAGCTTGGAAGAGTCAGTAACTCCAGCTGAGCAAAGCAGTAAAGCGACTCCGGCTAAAAGTGCAGCTGGAGTAACCGAGTGCTGGGATGAATATTGGGCTCCGACTGCTGATGAAGCGCATGGTGGGGAAAGCGGCTCTGAGCTGTCATTTTCCTGCCTTCTCTCCAACACTCATAGCCATCTTAAACCCAGCGGGCAGCATGATACACAAACTAGCTGGCACTTTCCTGCAGGACCTGGCCTGGCCAAAGAGGTGCACTGTCCACTGTGGCAATTTCCTGTCGCGAGCTATTACCCGCCAATAGAGCTGACCGTTCCATTTGAAGGTGAGACTCCGATATCTCCCGCTACCGGAACACCATTGGTTAAACATCCAGCTGTTTATTTGCACAGACTTGTGTGTATCTGCTTGTTTTCCACCTAGTGATGTGGAGAGTATGGGAGGAGATGGATGAGAGCGCCACTGCAGCAGAGCCCTTGCCGTTCACCAAGGCCTCCATGGACTTCACTGTGATGTCTTACAACATCCTCGCTCAGGACCTACTAGAGGCCAACCAGGAGCTGTACACACACTGCCCCCTGGAGGTGCTCGACTGGAGCTACCGCTGCAGCCTGCTCCTAGAGGAAATACAGAAATGGGAACCAGATGTGCGTCGAGTGCCAGCTGATGCTGTGCATTTTCTGTTTCATTCATAAATACAGACTAGATACATTTTTAATTGTAATGCTCATGTGTCCACTGATGAGTTTTGTGTTTTTCTCCGGGGTTTAGATTCTGTGTCTCCAAGAAGTTCAGGAGGACCACTACAATGAACTACTGCACCCGGTCCTGTCTCATATGGGTAAGTCATCAGTGAAAACACAGTGTAACAGCCATGTTGGATTACATGTATTGTATCTTCCATGTTGTCGCTCCAGGCTACACCTGCGTGTTCAAGCGGCGTACGGGGACCAAGACGGACGGCTGTGCTACGTGCTACCGTAGCGGTTGCTTCTCTGAAGTCTCGGTCACCGCGCTGGAGTTCTTCAGGCCTGACGTAGGGCTGCTGGACCGGCACAACGTGGGCATTGTTTTGTTGCTTCGGCCAATGGTCATCAAGGGGTCAGAGGTCAAGGCGAAGGGCCTCCCCCTGTGTGTGGCCAACACCCACCTGCTCTTCAACCCCAGGAGGGGTGATGTGAAGCTGGCTCAGTTCGCCATAATGCTGGCAGAAATCGACCGCGTCGTCAAATCCTGTAAGGCCAATGGCGAAGACTGTAACCTTATATTGTGCGGGGACTTTAACGCTGTCGCCCAAATGTCTCTTTACCAGCTGATCACCACCGGCGAGCTCTACATCCAGGGTCTACCAGCATGGATGGTGAGACTTAAACACTGCAAAGAATAACTGTTCAGTTATCAGTAAATCAGTTTGTTTCAGGTTTTTTTTTTTTATTATTATTTTTTTATCCATGATGCTTGCAGGATTTCCCTCTTTAAACCTGTATGTGTTCACCAACAGATATCCGGTCGAGAGGACCAGTCACAAAACAGCCATTGTCACAGACTGTATGCCCCCCTGTGGCCCAGCTCGCTGGGAATCACTGACCACTGTCAGTACACAACAGCTAACGACATGTTGAAGAGTCAGAAATCAGGTCATTGTTTGAAGCTGTGGTGTTTTGTACCTATTGTAGTTTTTGTAATCTTGATCCATGGAATGAGTTTCAGTCTTTTGTGTTTCATCTCCACTCACCTCACTTCCTGTCCTGTATTTCTTCTTGTGTAGGAAAATATCAGTACAGCCACGACTTCATGCAGCAGCTGCGCTTCTGTCCAGCGGCATGCGTCCGTCCTCTGGACTTAGAGCTGATCCCAGGAGTGACAGACGACACACCAGGTACAGGCTTACAGTACCAAAAACCACAACGTCGCTTTTTACCGTAATGGTTTGAATATCGGAGTCTTTCTTTTAATGCACAGATGCTTCAAGGGGAAGTCAACCGTATGATGAAAGGTGAGCTTACCTTGTGTGATGTGCAAAACAAGAAGATGTAAAAAAAGGGAGAGTGAAGGCTCAGTTAGGTGGAATTGTGATGTGATTTTAGTTACAGGTTCAACCACACCATCAGGCATCGGTTAGACCTGGAGTCCGTCTACAAACACATTCTTCCGAGCTTTGGCAATCCAGAAGTCACGACGCTGCACTCTGAAGGCGGAGCTACTGTGGACTACATCTTCTACACCCCGAGACGCAACTTAACCTGTAATCAAAGCGGTATGAGGACATGACACAAAAGACGGCGTTTCAGCTCTACTGTAGATAACTTATTATTGTTCTTCTTTTTTTCTCAGCTGGTGACTTTGTGAGTGCGGGTCTGAAGCTGATTGGTTCTCTCTCCCTCCTATCGGAGGATGTCTTATGGTCAATGAGGGGCCTGCCCAATCACATGTTCCCCTCCGACCATCTCAGTCTTTTGGCCAAGTTCCAGCTGGACCTGAATGCTGCATGATGGGAAAGACGGGGTGATGTCAGAGGATGGGCATGTTTCTGTTGAAATGGTTCAGGAGTTGCTCTGTTTTGCTATTTTTGTTTGTGTTTTTGTCATTATTAATACCATAACGTCTGGCTCACTCCTTGCACCAAAGGCTCATAGCTTCCTAACTGAATGGAAGTTTGTTCAAAAAGGACCAGAAAAAAATAATGGATGCCAACAATCAGTCTTGTTCCACATGGTTCTCCTCAGATAAACGACATAAAGAGATAATGCACTGACCTGCTCAGCTGCTCTTTCGCTTTTTAATTTATTTTAAACCTAATTTTCAGAGAGCGAGTTAGATTTGTGATTGAGTCAGTTGTATTTTTTTCGGATGGTAAAAATAAATATTTTCCATTATCTTGTGGCTCCTTAGTGATTTTTTTTGTTGCTCTTCAACACATTACAGAAATGAGTCTGCCTCCAGACATGCATAGCTCTTTCCCAGAGTTATAATGCAGCAGCAGCATTAAATCCTCCCTGTGTATCCCGCCTGGTCTGGTGCTGAGATAGTGACCTGAATGTCCGCTCTGCCCCTCCCACCCTACTACACTTAGGTCGTCGGTTGTTCAGGGAGAAGATGTCTGGCTGATGCGTGAATGAATAATTCATTTAGAAAGTCGAGTGTTCATGCATGATGGGGCTCGGTAAGAGAGCTTTGTGTAAGTGTGGGCTATGAAATGTCTGCAGAGGTGATTACCATCAGTAGGATGTCTTTCACCCGCCCCTCTCATTCTTGTCAATGCAAATATATTTGCCATATGCCGTAATACAATCATCCATGGACAGTTAAAAACTTTAATGTACAGAGGAGTCAGATTGGGTGTGTCTTTCTTCCCCCCCGTGGCGTCAAATGCATCAAAGTAAACAAAGGAGGTCAGTAGGTCATCCTGCCTTCTGTTTCTACATCTTACAAACACTGGTGGACAAGGTGTTTGACATCTGGAATCCACTGGAAGGGGGGGGTTGTTTATCTTAGCCACAATATTAACAAATGCTTAAGTAGCTCTTTTACAGATATCTCTCCCCTTCCACGTGATGGTGGTTTTACAGAGGAGCATTGTAACATGACAGTATTTCCCCTCACATACAGCCCTTTGTGAGTTACATCATCGGCCTGCACATTAAAGTGGCTCCTTGCTAACTGGGTTTCATTCACTGTAGCTGCCATTAGGGCTTCTTAGCTAATTGCTGTGTGAGGTGGACTTGCATCCATCCACTCGGGTATTTCATTAAACAGCAGGATCCCTGAACATGAGCACACATGCTGCCAGCATACTACAGCGATTACTTGATAGGAATGCAGAAGCACATGCTGGCAGCACATCAACAATATAACGGATGAAATGATAATGGCAAACGATGACAAAAGACCTACTTTTGTTTACATATTTTGAAAGATGTTCTGAGATCTAGATGGTGAACACACTGCCCCACTTGTTCTGACTCAAGTGTTTTAAGTCGGTGTTCTGCTGCACACTGAAGCTTATGCTTCCCTTTTATGGAATTGTTGGCGTTAAGTTTCCTTTGTATAAACTGAACAGGAAGTGTTAAGTGATTCCCCCCCCCCAGAGTCTGCTCTCCTCATCATTTGCCTTGGTGCCAAAAGCAACTGAGGACACTCTGTGCTCAGTTTGAGCTATTGGTCAGCAATAAACTGGCACCATTCCCCGTCTGACACCCACCCAGCCTGCCTGAAAACTAATTACAGCATACTTACTGATTAATCACTGCATTTGTCAGACCACGGCTGCTTAAAAAACGAATGAATTTGTTACAAAAACACAACTATTATCACAAAATGTAATCAGAAAACAAAAATGTGTTTGTCACAATCCTTGTGACCCTTTAATGTGATCCTATAAATGAACAGTGTTTTGGTACAAAATGATTGTGTAGCACTAAAATGAAAATCCGACAACACCTACTGTACACATAAGAATGTTGGCTGTGGCAACATATTCCCAACTGTGTGGTAAATATTGGTCTACTGGTGATCGCCAACACTGAAGGAAGTATAAAATGACCAAATTTACAATAAAAACAAATACAAAATGCAGATAAAAGTGCTGTAAACCAACTTCTTTACACCGTAGCCTAAATGGAAGTCACACCACCGAAGTCGAGAGAAATACCAGATAAAAGTTGCTACAAATAAAAGTTAGAAACAATGTATATATAAAGCAGTTATACATCGACTTCTCGTCACTCGTCATCAGTCAGCTGCGCTGCTGTGAGTCACCTTGACAAGGTTTTTATATTCATAACTCCTGTTTCTCCTATTATCACGCTACAGATGACTTAAACACTCTCAAACATACTTTTGTATATTGTGTGTTCAATCCCATATTCAGTCTTTATAAGGTCAATAGCATGCTAAATGTGCTAGCATTTGGACATTAGATAATAAAATCTCACACAATTCGCTTTCATTCGCCTTCAGCATTTTGGAAGAGCAGCTTTGTGTTGAGTTAAGACGGTGAGAATAATGGGGTGGATATAAAAAAAAAAGTCTGTTTCTTCTCTTTGACTTTTCATACAAGGCACGAGGGTAGTGGTTTGCAAACTAGTCACTACACAAGCAATTGCTGCCCAGCAGAGCCTACGTGGATTTAAAACGACATGACATGTATTTGTACGCTTACAGTACGACGATACAGATTGCAGAAAGGTTTTTGTTGAACACAACACCACGGAAAGCTACGATATGTCCAGCAGCACGTTTACACTTGAGTGGTAGAGTGGTAGATATTTTAAGTTAAGTTCTTAAAACTCTGCTCTGTTATTTAAAACAATGTGTTTACAATGTGCTGCACTTTTGTTCCCTTTCTATAATTTGGGAACGTTGCCAGCACCAATTACTACGCGCTGTCACCGCTCCAGAAGAAGCCTCTTAACAGCGTGGATGGAGGGACGCTGAATAAGCCATCTGTTTTTGGAGAGGGAAAGTTGCTGGTGACCTATTCAACATTGCGTCCCGTGAATAGGACAGTGTGTACGACGACTTGAGCCTCGGAGTAAACCAGTGGCCCCTGTGTAACAAAGTGTGTTGGTGCCTTGTAACCTTTACAAGCACGCTAAAGTTCTTCAGACTCGAATCTGGTATCCATTCATGTCTGCGGCCGATTTCTGCTCCAAAACCTTCTTCTCTCCGGAGGGACTGCAACAGAACAGACACAAATATGTGACACATTGAGTTTTATTCATAGAAGGGAGCTGTCACTAATTCATAAACTGCTTCTCCTTTGCGCGAGAAATCTTGTGTCCAAACATTTCACATTAACGGCTATAGTGCCTGTATTTTCAGTGAAGAGCCAAGTTATGTAGAACAAATGATCAAGCATACCGTCTCTCAACGCGGCTGACCCTGCGTATGGGGCTGCTCGGTCCTCTGAGGGGGGAACCCATGCTGTTTCTCCTGTCTTTGGTGGGAGAGGGTGGTGCGGGCTTTCCTATCTGCAGACACACAAGAACACCTTCATCAGAATGACTCTAAAGCTCCACCATGCAAGGTGAATCAGCTGTGCTCATGTCTTCGCTGCACACGGCTGAAATCGGTCTTTATCGTTAATGCGATTGTGCAGAGCGCTCGCTTTTAAAAAAGATCAGCCGTTTGATGGACTCGGCCGGCCGTGCGTGAAGCCCAGCAGAGCGGAGTCGAGCCATCGCATTAGTTTTATTGTACACAGAGCTCAGCATCAAGGCTGCCTTCATCACGTCGGCGCGAGCTGCGATGAGAGAGCGTCGTTTGAGAGAAATCGCTCCTCAAATAGCCGGGTCAACTCTGTGTCACGGTGTATGAAGAGGCCGCACGTCAACAGGAATCTAATAAGCGGTTAAGGAGGGACAGCCCTTTATGCTGAGGACAAACTATATTTATCATCATAGTCTCTAGTCCTGCAGGAGCTCCTCCAGCTTGTACAAGAAAATGAGACTTTCACAATGCTTATGACAAGTCCACTACAGGTGTCCCCTACCTTCAGCCTCATGTCTCGAGTGTGTCTCTCCAGCTCCTTGCGTAGCTCCTCCTTGGTCAGCTTGTCTACGTCCAGTATGGAATGTTTCCAGTCAATCTGCTCCACGCTGTGGGGGTCGTGGGACACGTACTGGCCGATCCGGACCTTGCGCAGGGTGTGCCAATAGCCCCTGTACGCTCCGTCGAAGTCTTGCACCAAGTCCATCAGGCTCCGGAACTCCACGGGCTTGAACATGAGGTCGTCCCTCCGGCTGATGCCCAGCGCACCGAAGCGCCCCCCACTGTGCACTCCCAGCACGATGTGGTGGAAGTGGTTCCCTGAGAAGTGAGACTGAAAGCTGAGGGGGAAGCGCTCCACACCAGGCATGTTGTTGGTCAGGTAACTGTACCGGAGGTGGGTCAAGGAAATGGAAAAAAGGTTTTTTGGAAAGACAACATACAGTAAGTCACGCCCCGTCAACAAACCATGTCTGGTCAAAGCACATGGTAAAACACAGATACAGTACAATCAGTAGATATCAGAGCGTATACAGTGGCATGCAACATGACCTGCTGAAGTAAAGATACATCCCCAGGATCACCGCCTCCAGGCATTTGATTGGCAGAGCCTCCCGCGTCATCTCTTTAGCGATGTCCATCAACCTGTGCAGAACAATGGTTTTCTGTGACGCAATACACTCCTGAGTGCACTGCAAATTACATGCACACACTGTTACTGAAGAAAAATTTGCACAGCTAATCTAATAAAGCGAGGTCTGGAAAATTGTGTCCCGCTGCCTGCTGCTTGACTTTAGTTTCTACCCACAAAGCCTTGGGGCGATACAGCTGATCCACATGCATCAGGCATTAGCACAGGCGGAACCATATCAATGGCAAAATCACCCTGTGACTGCTGCCATGAACTGGTGACCAGTCTTGGATAAAAGACAAAAATATGCTTACGCAGTAAGAGGCCGGCTCTTCTTAATTTCAAAAAACTGTGTTCCAGTGTGATTGTACCTGTGAAGATACAGTTAAGGTCACAACATAACAGAGCAAGGTGCTATGGGTGGATACTTTGGATGGGGAGAGTAGAAAACCACTCATAGTGCTTTGTGATATACAAAGGTTGTTGGTTAATTATGGATGAATTGTGTCTCCGACTGGCAGTCAAGCTTAATATAGAATAAAGTATCCAACAGTGGCCTACTTTCTTATGTTCGGCCCAAATTCATCAGTGTGGCAAAACAGAGGGTCAGTCGGATTAATGCAATTTAGTTTGCACACTATGTACATCCATTTGAGTATACAGTATATATGATTAAAATATGTCTTTTCAAACACATTTAATCATTCCTGTGGTACTAACCAGCCAGTTGTACCAACTTAGTCAAAGGATACTGCAATTCCCTGATGTATTTCTGTATGGCTTCAAGGCGCTGGGGGATAGTGGTGGTAGGTTGGTATACAGGCACACTCGGCATTGGAATCTGTGGGACAGAGCATCCAAACAACTGCATCACAAGCCCAACATTCATTGCAGCTGGAGAGTGTTGTCCTATGCGACCACGGTGCTTTTCTCCATTCGGCTAACTAACGGTAAAGAGCGTTCTTATTGCTCTTTAACTTCTCTCATGACAAATGAATGAAAAGTATTGTTCTTCTGTGTCTAAAACATCCGCGGCGTGCAAATGCACTGTGCAGGGCAGAATAGACAAAACATGCATTGTATTTTACTACTGCCATGAAAAAAAGGGTTTGAAAATTGATTGAGTGGCGTGCGGTCACGTGGGACTGCACAGTAACACTGTGACTCAACGTTTTCCCTCAACACAGGTGTATGTTGTTTCTCCACCACGTGCATGCTTCACCTGCAGAGTTAAGTGCACCCAGGTGCTCCCCGTCATGTACAACCAGCTGCAACTTCACACATCGAACACCTTAAACACTTTACCTTGGGATGGTCAGTGGTCCCCCGGATCTCCTTCCCCAAAGCTTCTCCATTGGGTTGTATTCGAGCCACGTGGCGCCACATCCTCTCCCAAGTCTCCTCGTCCACCGGGAGGCCTCCTCTGTTCACATAGAAGGGCACCCCTCCATCCTTCAACTCCTCTTCGCCTTCGTCCTCCTGCTCCTCATCTCTCTGCTCCACTGGGCCCGCGGCGGGCCTCAGCATCCCTCCTCCACCAGGAAGCCGAGGCACAGAAACAGTCCGGACTGATGCCCTGAACTCTTTCACTGGTTAATCTGCTTGCAGGTCTAAATAGGTTTCCACAACAGATGGCCAGCTCATGACATCAAGCAGCTTGTGCCTCAATTATAAAAAATAAAAAAAGTCTAAGGGTGATCTACTGTAATGAAAACTCACCCCTGTAGTTGATTTCCCCGGTGAAGTAGAAAAAAATAATCCTTTTTTGAATAAAGAATGACTTTGCTTGAACTATTCAGCTCTTTGGTAAAACCTAGAGGACCGGAGGCCATTCAATAATCACATATTCATGTCAATACAATAAATGAAGACAGCATTAATTTAGCCTTTATGCGTGTCGCCTGTTTTAATGACGATACTGTGAAAGTTCAACAATAAGCAAACAGAAGCCCGCCAATGTAACGCTATCGCAGCCTGTAGGAGGCTTGAGTCTGCAGACAACAAAGTATTAGAAATGACTAATTCCCTGTACCGTTAGAGGTCATCCACACCCCACATATCCAGCTAAATCTGTTCCGTTGGACGATCCCTCCACCTCGACACTCCTCAGACGTCCACTTCATCTCCGTTGCACCGAATCATTGCCTTCTGTCAGCCGCTGTTCCCCGGTTCATTGTTCATGCAGATGCTCCTGGGTTCAGTAACTGCGGGTTGGATTCACTTCCAGCGAGCCGCTCAGACACTCCCAGACTCGCGTCCACTGCGCATGCTCCGTGCCTTAGCGGATGATCTCAGCCGTGACAAATGCTGCATTCATGTGCTCCCCCGTAAAGTGTTAATCTGAGATCCGCTTGTCGTTTATTCACGTTCCAAGTGCTTTTTGGCTGTTGGCAGTGCAAACGCAACAGTGACAGTGTTTGGTGAATTTAAGTAAATGTAATATTTCTTAAAAGTGAAATAAAAACTATAAAAAGATAATAAAAAAATATACATCCTGCAATCCAGCATGCTCTGGTCATGTCAAAGTCTTTAATTGTAATTAAACTGTCAATAGTTGTGTAATATTTCCATTACCTCCTCCTTGTCCTTCCTTTGTACATCTCAATAAATAGCATTGTAGGAAAAAGAAAAATACATATCTTCTGTAATCAAATAAAAGACCTCAGAACAAATTCATTAAGACAGAAGAAACTGAGTAAACATAGGAACCTGAAATTGCTTGTGAATCTTTCTCATAGTAAGTTAGCATCTTTGCTCATATAACAAACATGCCTCTACTATTTGGTGTGTTGGGAAAAACACACTGCACATGGACATTGCAACAATTGATTTATTTTTGCAACAAAAAGTTTCATAAAGAAAAACACAACAAGTAATGTGCTGTTAGATCAAACACAGCCCATCCTCACCAAATCAAAGCTCACACTGTTTTGGATGGACATCAAAGGAAAGTCATATTAAAACAGGAAACTTTGTCTATTTACAGGTCCAGCTCAGTTGTAGAAATGTTAAAGCCTTGGAGCACCATAGTCATCAGGCATCCGCTCAATATTGTACCTGTATGAAAAAAAACAAATAAACAGAAACAATCAGTATAGCTGTGTTTTTAATGAAAAATAAACATTTTATGCAACAAAAAAAGAAAAGCACACAGATAAAAGCTGCCACATATTCAAAGCAAACGTTGAACTTGTGTTACCTGTGGTTTGAGATGTACATGATGGGTACGCCGGGGATCTTCCTGATTCTTCTCTTCAGATCTCTGTCCACAGTGGCCAGGATGTAACACTTGTGCTGTGGATATACATTTATGTCATTGATATAAACTTAAGCACCAAAACTACAAAGCGCAACATGACATACATTTACCCACTATAATTACATAACGACTTGTTTTAAATATGATCAATTACACCTGTGCTTCTTCTGCTATGGCAAGCCAAAATGTCTGCTGTGAAAAAAGACCATAACTTAACATATTGTGGCGTTCACCATGTATCACACGGTGTACATTTGTTTATCGACGGTATTGAAAATAACTGACATAAGCTGGTGTGTGAGTTCAAGGTAGAGGCAGGAGCAGTGTGGCTGCATTGTCGTACACCTACAGGATACGTTAATTGTTAATAATCATACAACAACAACTGACCAGTGAAGCATATTACCTGTGTCACCCGTTGGACTAAACAGTCATCGGCATATGTCCCCTTGTGTGTGCACGGCAACCTTTCAAACCTCGGATCCTTGGCTATCCTGCATATACAAAACAAGCAAAATATGTAATTATAGGGTCACTTGTGAATTTATAAGTTCATATCCCTAAGTGCAGCTTTATATTCAGCAGCTTGTACCTGAGTGCGACTCTGTACTTCATCCCGAGCTTTTCGATCTCAGCCATCACACAGTCTGTGATACATGGGATACCTGGATTGGATAAAATTGCAGGAAAAAAAATGAAATTGTGAATTACCATGACTCTTATATATATACACTGCAATAATTAAACTGAGAAAATGGTTATAATCATCATTAATATTGACAGCAGTCCTTACATTTTGCATACAGGCAGTCCATCATAGACTGAACAATGTCCAGTTTGGCCTTGATGGAGAAGTTGATGAAATTGGTGTCTACTAGAATGTGGTACGGTGGACCAAGCTGAGTATTGTACTGGAAGAACAGGCATGATGGGTACTTTGTCCTGCAAGAAAAATAGAAAAGAAATCAAAGAGCCATCCACCTCAAGTTCTTCATCATCTTAATGAAACGTTTGTGTTGCAAACTTACACTTCTCTCTGCTTCAGCTCTGAGGGATCTTTCTTCTTCTTCTTCTCTTTTCCTTTAGCTCGGTCTTTCTCTTTTCTACAAAGCAAACAAGGAGTTATAGTGCTGGCAAAGACTTTAAAGATCCCCGCATACTGTAACTATTCATGTTTTGTATAATTTGTATGAGAAACTTAAGCAGGATTTATCAGATGAACAAAGCTTACGAATAAGACAGTTTAACTGACTCATGATAGAAAACAGAGAGCAATTGTGAAAACTCACAGTCTGTTATCTTTCAGACTGATCATTCTCTTCATGGCAGCAAACTTCTTTGTTTTCTGCTTGCCCTAGAATGAACAAGGTAAAACACAGAAACTGATTACGACCAACACTTTATAGCAGCACTGGTGAAACACAAGCTCCGATGATTATACAAAACACCAACTAGCATCTCTCAAAGCCTAACGTTTCATCATTAAAAAACTAAACAAAACATTATTGAAGCTTTCCTTTAGATAGGAAGTCGACACATACAGTTAACACCAACTACCAGTAGTTACAAAACAAACACTACGAAGCTAACTCGGGCTACATTCACGGTTCCAACCTTTTAAGGAGAGCAATGCCATACTCTATTAATGTTGGATTGATAAATCTATATTCTATATGTAAACGAATAAAGGATTCCTTTCAGTAGCTCATGTTGTAAGTGTAACGTTAGGTAAATTAAGACGCTAGGCTAGCTAAATTAGCTCAGCGGCTTGCCTGCTAAAAAGCTTCAACGCCAAATGAATATTATACAAAATAGCATATAAGGGATGTCAATCATCAAGGCAGTCGTGGTGTAACGCAGTTAGAGATTACATACCATGGTTTATATTTTAATCACAGGTCTGAGTGGATTTAGCTTCTTTTCCCCTCGTGTACTGTAGAGACGCGATTACGGGTGACGTAATCAAAACTCGACACGTTTTCTGCGCATTTTCCGGCTGCTAAGCTAATGCCCAACAGACGAAGGTAGCTGCAGTGTTTAATAGAATATATCAACTATACTTGTATGCTTGCAATTCTGGTTTGTGTTGCTGTGTAATTTAAAGCGGTGTCCTGTGAACGCGTTGTGACGTGCATCTTAACCGCCGCGGGTTGGCGACAAGCTTCCTGAAATTCCGGTGACATTGTTGGCTAGCTGCTAGCATTGTGCTGTGGTTCGCCAGTTCATGCTACTGTAGCAGTTTGTCGGCACGATGCTAACAGTTGTTAACATTAGCCTCCAGCTTTACTCAGCGATCCAGGTGACAATAGACCACAGAGGATTTAGGATATTGCAGTTAGCCGGTCTATGTTCCGCACCCGGTGTTCTGTGGTTTCTCAAAACGTCATTCAAGCAACTGTCCGGTAAAGTTACCTAAAGCTGACCTTTTGGTAGCTTATTCAATTAGCTTTGTGGTTGTTTATAACGGTGGATGACATTTTGAACCGTTTTGCCACCTGAGCTACCACGTATAGACAGTTCATTCAGCACCATCACCTGGACTGTTGTTGTTGGATTGGATTAAGTTAATTAATTACACTTTATCTGACCGGGCTTCTTTGATACTTCGGGCCAAACAGAGGCTGGTGAGAGTTTTATGACCGTTCTTTAGCCAAGTTGTTCATGCATATTTCAGTGCTGTTGATTACATGTACTGTTATTCTCCCATCAGCCACCACTTCACCCAAGCTGACACTTAAATATTCATGTTTTCTTGACAGAGCAGTTTATTGTGCAGCTCCTCCTAGGCGTGCTAATGTGCCATTAGCATTGTTTGACACATTTTCCTCTTTTTAAATGCATTTGTTTAAATTTAAACTCTTTGTTATTTTATTTTGGTCTGGCTGTTTTCAGCCTAAGCAGTTTCTCTCCAATTGTAGGAAACTCGACTTGCCCCCCTCCCTGGTGAGTGGCAGTTTTTCTTTGAGCGCTGAGGGTCTCAGTGAAGGCTGAAAGATGGTCTGATGGACCGCCGCTTCTTCCTGACCTTCCTCTTCTGCTCAGTGTTGTGGATCTTCTTCTGGGAAGTGCGCTGGAAGAAGGGAAAAGAGAGTCAGATTGAGGAATGGCTCCAAGGACATAGCCTCTCTCAATACAGGCACCTATTCGAAGGTCAGTGTCTCCCAGTCACCCTCACTTGAGATGCACGTGGCCATCACAGCGTAGAAGCCTGGTTGGTAGTCTGATCCTCGGTGAAGTAAGCAGCTGACACTTCTGCGAGATAGGTCTTGACTTAACACTTTCTGGTTCAGATGGTTTCTCTAACCACGAGCTCATCCAGTACCTTCCAGAGCTTTTGCAGAAATACCAAGTACAAGTTTAATGTCTAACTGGACTTAAACTTGTTTAATGCAAGAAGATTGTGTTGCTTATTAGTTTGACCCTGGTCAGTTTTTGGTTTTATCCCTTTTCAAAGCTTATGAGATGCATGTGGCATGCACGGACAACCAGCCCGGGCTTAAATGTTTGCTATAATAGACTTTCATCAGTTTTTAAAGCCTGTGCTGGGGCATTACTGAGGCTGATTTGTTGGCCTGCATGTGATCGGGGGATTTTGATGTGCTGTCCATGTGTCATCCAGATGTACAGACACTGGAGGAACTGAGTCTGAGTGTACTGAGCCGTCTGGAAGAGGTGGTGAAGGAACAGCAGCGCTGGAGGGAGATTGCGAAGGCCCACATCCAGCTGCTCCGAGACTTTGCCTTCCAGGAGTGGCTCTGCTCCAAGAACCTGGGGCACTATTACCATACGTAAGCAATAGAAAGAGCTTCACTCAAACATGCTTTTCTTTTCCGGAGACAATTTCTTGTGGCATGCCATAAATGTCTTTTTTAGTTTTTCCTAAATGCCTCGAACTGGTTATATGGTAACTTTTATGCCAGTCAACACAAGGCTATATTCATATATGTCCACTTGAGGGCAGCCTCTCCATTCATGGCCGGCTGCGTTTGCTGACACTGAGCTGTGGAGGCTGCAGTGTTTCAGAGGGTCACTGCAGTAAAAAGTATTCTTCCGAGACCATTTGTGCGAGACCTTGCAGCGATGCAGATGTTTATCTACGTGCGTTTGGGTGCTCTCTGTTGATACAGGCAGTGATGAGTAGTTATCGAAATGCTGCATCAGTCAACAAGGTCGACCCGTGTGTCTCAAACACACAGTCACATCACATCATCATGTATTTAAGGGAAACACTTTTGATCGTCGTAAACGGACACTGTGTCACATTTCTGAAGGTCGTGTCCGTCACGCTATCACTCCCTCCCATTGCTGCTTTGATCGATTGGACTTTAAACCTGTATTGATAACACAATTATTATTATCTTCATTCAGTCATTCAGTGACGAACTGTGTAGGAACAGACGAGGATCTTCGCAATCGTTTGTTGCCTAAAAATACACCTTAAATGGGGATTGGTTGCAGATTCACACAAGCCTCTCGTTACTTCTCAGACAAATAGTGTAATTATATATAAGATGATAGAATTATATACTTGAATATCTCTTTTCATTATCACAGTAATCAATCGCAAACAGTGTAGATAAGCAAACTGGACGCAGCAGCATGCTGGTAAATAGAATGTGGGTAGAAAACGTGTTTTAAAATGAAATGTTGCAAGATTATGTTTGAGTTTTAATGATTACGCTGTGCTCTGCTGGGGGGGCGGCATCACTGCGGATGATAAAAACAGGATCAATAAGATGATCAGAAAGGCTGGCTCAGTGATTGGCCTTACCCCAGGCTCACTAGAAATCACTGTTGAAAAGCAAACAAGGGCCAAGTTAAAAACAATTGTCTTGTTTGAAGGCCATCCACTACACGGTGTCTTCCATGGACTCCGAAGCTCATTTGGTGAGAGACTCAGGATGCCTCAGTGTTCTACTGAACGAATAAGAAGGTCTTTCGTTCCAGCAGCAGTCCGATTTATTTATTTTTTTTTAATGAACACCTTTAGAGGTTTTTATCTTTCTGATGTCAATCATGTTTTATATGGCATTGTCTGGTGTTATTTATCCTTTGTAATGTGTTTTTGTCTGTTGTGTACTGTGGACTGTGTTGTGTACTGTGGACTGTGTCGTCTGTATGAGTTTTTGGGTGGCAAATGAGTTTCCCCACTGGGGATTAATAAAGTTTCCTAATCTAATTACAACCGTTTATCTCCTAAACTAATCATGTTTCTCTGCTGTGCTTATCTAGTCCTTTCCCTGTAATAAAACCTCACAGTGTGAAGGCTGTGAGGTTGTGAAACATGCCGCGCCGTCTCGCTACACCCTGTTGACCTAACTGACGAGTTTCACTGACAACATTGAGGTTACTTTTGGACAGAATCTCACAAAAACTACAGTTTGTTTTGTGTGTGGGACAACCTGTTGTGTGCAGTCAGCAGTCTTCTAGGCGCGGAGTTAACAGTCGTGTTCGGGTTGTATTTATGTAGGCTGTACTTATAAAGTAATTGAGCATTGCTACCATTCCCGTCAATGATCTGCTTCATATAATTTCACTTTTGTTTTCCACTGCAGACTGAAGAAGTTGCGTTGTATGAATCTGGATGATCTGGCTCACTTCGACAGTCAGCTGCAGCTGTCTCTAGCTGGCTGGGGATACTACTACGAGGACTACATCAAGTTGTCCACGGGCATCAAGATCCTCCAGAACTCCAGGGGGAGTCGCGACCAGGACTACGAGATCCGGCTGGTGCACAGCCTCGCTGTGAGGCGTCTGAATGAGAAGTGGACAGTTGGTGAGATCCTGATCATTTTCTGCCTTAAGACCGCTTTCAGTTTGGGGCTGCTTTTCCACAGCGGCAGGTTATTAAAAGGCATTTTGAGACGAGATGTAAACGTAAGATGGATTGTACCGTTGGTAAGTTTTGCCAAGTGTTGTTACTACAAGAGTTGCTTATCAGTTTATCGTAGCTCAAGTGTTGTAATGGAGAAGTTCAGCGTTGCTTCATCTCTGTGTACAGCCCAACAGCAGATTGTTTTTCTGTCTTTTTCTCTCACAAAAACATGACATTCCTTCACATTGAGGATGAATGTTGGGTTGTATAAAACCATTTGTTTTGTCACTTTACATTTAATATAGTGATCCTGGGGTTTAAACAATATCTAAAGAAGCAAAGAAAGTAAAACCATAACAATGTAACTAGCAGGCTCAGACCAGGAAGTGTGTATTGTCTTAATTCTCTTTATTCATCAGTACAATGTCCCATTGTCTTTTCAGCGGGAGCTCTCCTATTTGGCTGTACTGTGGCGCTGTGCTTCTTGATAAGGGACCTCATGTTTTACGTGATTGGTGAGTCCTGTGTGAGCTGTTTGAGGGTTTTGGTCTGACATGGCTGGTCCTGGCATTGCTGGCACATAACTCAATCTTTCTGTTTCTGCAAGCACCGTGAGGCAGTGCAACCGGTTTTAATAATTGCTTTGTAGTATTTGTATAGCCTTAAACCTGAGTCAAACTTTGAACTTTGCTCTGTTTCTTTGTGATGAATCAACTTATTTCAAAAGCAGATCAATACCTTGCATTTATTTGCAAACAACTTGCCTCCTCCTTCCCTTCTTGCGACAGGTGGAATTACTGTTTCCATCATAGCGTTTGTCTTCACCATCAAGTTCCTCTGTGAGCTTGCAGCGCGAGTTGTCAGCTTCCTGCAGAATGAAGATCCAGGGCGACGAGGCGACCGCAGCATCTACGACTATGTCCGGGGAAACTACCTTGACCCACGTTCCTGCAAGGTGTCTTGGGATTGGAAGGAACCACAGGAAGTGGGGCAGACCATGAGCTTCAGTGTCCAGGTGATACTTGACTCCTAATGTGCCGAAGCCTAAAGATGTACCATACCTCCTGTTTCTAGTCTAATCGACTGAATATTTGGTCGGCAAAACTATATTAAGAAGTGTGAAATTGACTTCTTGTGGTCTCTTTTGTGCTTCTGTCTTCTCAGCTGTTCTATAAGAACGGCCAGCCTTTTCCGGCCCACCGGCCTGTGGGGCTGAGGGTCAACATCACACACATCGAATTGGCTCTGGACATCCCTGTTACACAGGAGGTTCTGCAAGAACCAGAGTCCAATGTAGTGAAAGTGGCCTTCACTGTGCGCAAGGCCGGACGCTACGAGGTTGCTGTCAAGCTCGGCGGCCTCAATGTGGCCTACAGCCCTTATTACAAGATATTTCAGCCAGGTGTGTTTTACACCCAACTCTTATTTCGCTGCATGCGATTATTGATTTGACAAGTTTGTGTTGCTGATAGTCATCTTCTGTTCTTTTATCCACCTCAGGTACAGTTGTCCCATCCAAAACCAAGATAGCCTACCATTTCTCCACCCTGGTGCTAACAAATGGCCAGCAGCACACTTTGCAGATTGAGCCCAGAGACGAGTACGCGAACCCCACCAGTAACTCCACATCTCTCACAGACGAAGCCAACTACAGTGTCCATGTGCACTCTGTAAGGGAACAAACCCCCGCTTCTATTATCCAGTGTGCTGTAATGTGTGATTATGACTACAAAAATAAAAAGCCAGCATTTCTTCTTCTGCTCCCAAATTGCACAGTCCACTAGCTTTACAGTGTAGCAGAACAGGTTCTGAGCTGGGATTCATCTCAGTTTTTCCTGTTCTCACAGCTGGGCACGGTGGACGATGACGGTGTGGAGGAGTACTACAGTAAGTCGGTGAAGCTCAACAAGCAGCAGTGCCAGGTTCTGCTGAGACTGACTCTGAGGAAGACTGGCTGTTTCAGAGCCTGCATCTCCTACAAGGACCAGCCGCTCAGCAACGGGGAATTTGACATTATTGTTCTCAGTGGTGAGCGGCCTTGTACACGCAGAAGAAAAGTACGGCACGAAAATGCAGTGTACTGCAGCCTGATAGCCTAATACTCTTCATTGCATATTACAGAGAATGAGAAGACCTGTGTGGAGAAGAATGTGTCCACTCCAGGCATAAGTATCTACTTCGAGGCGTACCTTTACAGCAATGGGAACTACAGTTCTTCATGGCAGTTGCCAGCCTCCTCTTTACTGGCCCCCCAGAGGAGGCCCTCCATGGGAGAAGAGGAGGACGAGCACGACTCTCCTGTGGAGGGACAACTTGAGAAGGTCAAGAAACCAAAAAAGGTCTACTGTTACATATCGCCAAAGGTAAGTGGCCCACGTATAATCGTCAATTAGTAGGATTTCTCTTCCTTCAACTTTTGAGTTTGTGAATGTAAGGAAGTAAGACATGCTGTACTTGAGAGAACTCAACACACGTTCATGTAAGAGGATGCTGACTTGGACTTTTATGCCAAACAGCAACTATCCGTGAAGGAGTTCTACCTGAAAATTATCCCATGGCGCCTTTTCACCTTTCGAGTGTGTCCGGGAACGAAGGTAAGCAGACGTTGTGTCAGAAGCCCAGGAGAACAGGCCGCTTTGATGTGATTTGGCAATCTCACAGTCATCTTGCGCTCTGCTTTCAGTTCACCTATCACGGTCCTGACCCGGTTCACAAGTACCTAACTCTAGTGGTGGACGATGGGATACAGCCTCCTGTGGAGCTCAGCTGCAAAGACAGGAACATCATGGCTGCCACCTTCATTCGCTTCCTGCACAAGAACATCGGTTGGTTTCAGTCTTGAGCTGCACTCGGTAAATACTGTCTTTTTGTGGAGACCGTGGCAGTAATTTGACAGTGTTGACCACAGGTGGCTCTGAGACGTTCCAAGACAAGGTGAACTTCTTTCAACGTGAACTCAGGCACATCCACTCCAAGAGACCTCGCACCAAGACCTGCCTAAAAATCACCCGACACTCAATCCTGGACTCGGTGAGCGCTGCTTTACTGCACTGTGAAAACAGCCATGTGATCATAACAGTCGCCATGATTTTGACACTCGTTTGTCTGTCGCTCAGTCCCTAAAGGCTACGAAGAACTTCTCTGTGTCAGACTGGAGTAAGAACTTTGAGGTTGTGTTTCAGGATGAGGAAGGTAAACAACACATGTGAATATAGCTGAGGAGGCTTCACAGTGTGCGTTAAGTCGAGGAGTTCTAATTCAGAAATTTAACATTTTTGCTGTCACAGCAAGCACTTAAAACGCACCTTTCTCTGCAGCTCTGGACTGGGGAGGCCCTCGCAGGGAGTGGTTTGAGCTGGTCTGTAAGACCCTCTTTGACACCTCCAACCAACTGTTCACCCGCTTCAGCGACAGCAACCAGGGCCTGGTGAGTTAGTCTTTGTGCCGTCTTCCACATTCAAAACCTCTTATCTTACCGTATAGAAAAAATCTGAGTGCTTTCAACTTCATTTTCCAGGTGCACCCAAACGCTGAGCGGCCAACCCACCTGCGTCTGAAGATGTACGAGTTTGCGGGTCGCGTCGTAGGGAAGTGCCTGTATGAGTCGGCTCTGGGCGGGGCCTACAAACAGCTGGTCCGAGCTCGCTTCACGCGTTCCTTCTTGGCCCAGATCATTGGCCTCAGGATGAACTACAAGGTATGGAACACAGTTTCATTGTTTACTTTAAGTTGTCAGCTGGTCGGTCTCATCAACTTCTCAACATTCCTCACAAAGCCAATAAACCTGATTTGTTTTTTGGCATGATTTATTTCATGGAAAACAAGCCGACGTGTGTTTTGCTGTTAATCCAACTTCTTAAGATTTCAAAGCTTGAGAACGAAAGCCAACCCAATCATCTTTTTATACTTCCATCAAGATGATGAAATGCCATTTTCCTGTGTTCTCGTTTTATTTTCCACACACAGTACTTTGAGACGGATGACCAGGAGTTCTACAAAACTAAAGTCTGCTTCATCCTAAACAATGACGTGAGTGAAATGGATTTGGTGTTCGCCGAGGAGAAGTACAGCAATTCGGGACAGCTGGAGAAGGTGAGGCAACACTCTGGAAATGAACCTCCCCGTTTTACCCTGATGTAATTTCACAGGAGAAAGGAGCAATAAACCAAACAAAAGAAACCATAATGCTCTTTTGGCAAAGCACCTTTCGGGCAAGACCGGGAGTTTGTTGTTTGGCTCTTTTACGTCTGCTCTTTGACATTTATATTACTGCGCCACATGTTCTCTCGCAGGTGGTGGAGCTAATATCAGGGGGATCTCAGATCGCTGTTAACAATGAAAACAAGATGCATTATCTCAACCTGCTGGCCCAGTACAGACTAGCCAGCCAGGTGAGAGAGGAGGTGGAACACTTCCTGAAAGGTGAGGACACTAGCACAGCTGCAGTCTGCCACGTTTCGTTTGCCAATTCCTCTCATTGTGAGATCTCCGGTAATGTGCTTGTAATTAGTGTAATTTCCTGTTCCATTGCAGGTTTAAACGAAGTGGTTCCAGAAAACCTGCTAGCCATATTTGATGAGAATGAGTTGGAGGTATGTGTGATGATTATAGGAAAATCCGGTTGATCTTTAAACCACTGCTGAGTAATTGTTTGTTTTCCTTTTTTTAATCTCTTCAGCTGTTGATGTGTGGCACCGGTGATATAAACGTGCAGGACTTCAAGGCCCATGCCGTGATCGTCGGAGGATCGTGGCACTTCAGAGAGAAAGTATGTCACGGGAACTGCGTCCCTCTGTTTTCTACCAACAGCAGCCCACCGATCAAATTGTCTGAGCGTCGTTGCTTTTCTCTTTTTATGAAACAGGTGATGAAGTGGTTCTGGGCCGTGGTGTCCAGCTTCACCCAGGAGGAGTTGGCGCGACTGCTACAGTTCACCACGGGCTCCTCTCAGCTGCCCCCCGGGGGATTCAACACTCTCTGCCCCTCCTTCCAGATCATCGCTGCCCCCACACACAGCACCTTGCCTACCGCACACACGTGGTGAGTAGGACAACACCGGCAGATTCACTCAAAGGAGGAGGCTTGAGGCTTCAGGGACGGCAATGTCAGTCAGTTAATCGATGGCGTTTTCCATCCAGACTGATCTCAACGACAACTACTTTGATGGAAGTCTTTTTTTAAAGTCATTTATGGTCCCCAGAGGATGAAATATACTGATTTTGGTATGAACCAACTGTTCATCCAGCCCCACCAGCTCGTTTTCATGTTTATGGTGGAATAACTGATGGATTGGCTGAAAAATTCACGTCGAAATTCATGGTTCCAAGATGATGTGTCCTAATGAGTTTGGTGAACCCCTGACGTTTCTCTAACATCATTATCAAGTCAAAATGGCAAAGAACAATTTAATAAAAGGTGATTTTGGCCACAGAGGAATCACTCCTCAGGCTAGGAAATACTTACAAGAAAGTTATTGTTGGTCTTTTCATTGGATTCATTAATAAGAAAAACACATTTTGAATGTTTAGTTCCTCAAATGTTTCAATTATATGTGACAATGAGCGTAATCTAGAAATGTTACATAAATGCTTTATTGGGATCTAAACATTAGCTTATTAACAACCCTCTGTTGTCCAATTGTCTGTCTAGCTTTAACCAGCTGTGCATCCCTACGTACGACTCTTATGAGGAGCTGCACAAGCTGTTGAAGCTGGCCATCAGCGAGGGCAGCGAGGGCTTCGGCATGCTCTGACTCGTACAGGAGGAGAGCAGCACGGCCCACTCCAATGCAGAGAACCACCCAGACTCCCCATGGATACTCTCTCAGGACGAGGGGGCATTACAGGACGTCCCAGAAGGCTGTCCTGAAAACTGGAACTCTACATATGAACTCTAGTGCTACTGTATGTATATAAAATATCTCGCTTTTGTAAAAAAAAAAAAAAAAAAGGAAACCAGGAACTTCTGGCAAAATGGTAAAGTTTAGACTAGCTGTGTTTCTAAATGCTAAAGTTTGCTTAGTTTTATATGTTTGAAAGACAAGTTATGCTAGAGCAAAGGCCTTGAGTATTACTTCATAACTGCTTCTTTTGCATTTTGCAAACTGAGGAACACTTAAGTGCGACAGCGGCCTACATGTGATGTGGTCGACCGCTACAGCACTTTGGCCTTAATCGATCAGGGACTGATGTGTGTCTGTAAATATATAATATCACTCTTTTATTCCAATACTTGTACATACTAGTGTGTATACATAGGTTTTCATCTTATTACCTTTTTGCTTTGACGTTTAGGGAGAAGGGATTTCTTTATCGTTGCACGTTTGATGGGTTTATATCATTATTTGTTTTTCTCTCTAAGAAGGAATGGGTTTTAAAAGAAGCCGAGTCATTTCTATTGTTTATACGTGTTTTAAACTTATTGTTGAAACTATGTTTGTCTGGAGTTGTAAATGTTTTTGTTATGTTTTTTTTTTTTTTTAAACTTGCCTTATTCATGCCCTTTGCATCTGATTGTATCCAGAGACGTTGCATAGCTGAGAGAAGCATAGTCGGCAATACTAAGTAAAAGCTTTATTATAGCATTTCTACTAGTACATGCAGGGGTCACTGTGGATGTTGGGGAGAGCCCACATGTAACAAACATGTCGTTATATATGCTGTATCCTCAGCCTGCTATGGGTTTCCCTCCGTGTCTCCTATGCCACCTTTTCCTTCCTCCTTGAACCCATAGTGGTAAAGCCTACACAGTCTGTGCATAGCTGCCTCCTTCCAGTCCTGTAACCTTTATCCGTATTATCCCACCTCTTCAGTAAACCCAAGCATCATATCAGTGGACATTATGTCCCCGTTTGTTCTTCTTTGCTGTAAAACAAATTCATTTTAATGTTGTTGGTATTGTCAATATCCTGAGCCAACGGAGTTGTTTTCTCTCTTTTTGTTGCTGTTCATAATTGTGTAGCAATTTCTTTTTGCTGTTCCAGAGTTTACATGTTCAGTAGCCATTTTGTACTAGTGTGTGTGTGCTGCCAGTCGTAGGGTTTGTAGAGCGTTTAGGTGAACGCATTGTTTAGATTCAGAAGCAAAAAAGAAAAAGTTATGATTCATCGCAATAGTATTATGAACATTTGAATATGTCCACATCCCCCACAGGGCACTCTGGGTCCGGTCTCGTCACATTATTCTCACAGTCGGCAGTAAACGCTCGACTTGGCCAGAAAGAGATTTCACTTCGTTATTGCTGAACGGCAAAGACGTCACATGTTGACTGTAGTTGCAGCAGGTTGGGATTTGTTTGCGTCGACGCGATGTTTGATGCTTTAGCAGCTGGCCTCTTAGAGTGTTGAGAGGTTTATAAGAGGGTCTGTGGATTTGTGTTTGTTTGGGTTGTGCAATGTTGACCCGATGTACTGACAACAGTGGGAAAAGTGCTGATAGAAATGTTTCATGAAGGGTGCGTTTCCAGTACCAATATCATATTTACTAGAAGTAAACGTGGTTTAAGCATTACACGCTCGCTGTTCCATTAGATACGTCCATTATAAACCAATACGAAGGAGCTCTGTCCTGTAGTTTTATGTTCTTGATTAATGTTTTGATTTTCATGAGCATATACTTCTCCATTTTATGTTTGGACTGTTTCTGGGTTAGATGACCCGAGTGTGACCTTTAGCAATGTAGATATTGTGAAATATTTGCCTCTGACTTTAAAGCCGAGATACTCTTTTCCTTTCTTTTTTTTTTTTTTGTAAATGACAAGCCTCTGCTGGCGAAAGTTTGAGATTCTCTGCACTGCAGGTCCTTTGTTTATGGGAATAAAAAAAAAAACTGATGGAGTAAATTCTTATCCCTTATCTCACTTTTTGTGCATCATATTTTTGATTGTGTTAAGAACAGTGTGATTCCACACAGCCTGCCAACAGTACTTTGAGAGTGGACTAAAGGTGTGCTCAACATAACATAAGTTTTTGCCTTTACTCCAGGTTTAAAAACATGTATGCCTTGTAACGACTCATCACTCGTAGCACTATTTTCTTACAGGGGACAAAATCTTTGATGAAAAGAGAGATGCATTTTTATTTATATTGTCTATGAATTCATATGACATCATCTAAACTCCATTTGTTTAGGTTTCGCCTCATTTCTTGGCCAGCAGACTGCGTGTTTCAGACACAAGGGGGCAGTGGCTCTACGCGTGACATTATCAGAGGATACATTGACGATACAATGATGAGGAGCTTTCCCGTCTTCAGCTGACCCCCCCCCC